TTTTATCGTCTTGTTTTTGATGAGAAATAGTTTAGATAATTTATGTTTTATTTTTTAAATTATCCGTCCCCTTTTTCTTTTTTTCCCTATAAGATAAAATCATTTTTTTTTTATAAATGACACCATTTACATGTTTGTTTAAAACAACATTACGTAAAAAATTTAAATAATCGTTCCAAAATAGAGATTTACATTTTAGAATTTAGATCAATTTTCTTGTTTAAATATTTTTAAGAAATCATGAAGATTTGATAATATGTTAATTATAAAATTCAGAAAATCATTGATATATGGTAGTTATATATAATAAGAAATTATATATGAAATACACAAAATTAGAATTTACATATATTTAGATATTTTCATTTAAAGTCAATTTAAAAAGTTTTAATATCTATTATTCTAAATTAGTTGAAATAGTTACATATGCAAAGCTGTTAAAAATAAGATCTAATATTAATTTTTTTCTATAACTATTATTCGAATTTAAATACAGACGTTTATTATGGAAATCTATTTAAATGTTAAGACTCAATTTTGGTCTAAATTTATTTTTGTTAATTTGTTCTTTTTTAAAGAAATACATAAATACCTCATTTCAATCAATATATTTCAAAAAGATTTATTTTATTTTTTTGCTCTATTTGCGAGATTATTTTTCAATATGAAGATTTTTATGTGAAAATAAAAGGTTTTATGTGATATAAATTTTTTATTAGGTTGATTTTAGTAAAAGAAAAAAAAATTATTATTGATTTGTTGAAGATTGTTTATTTAAAAATAGTTAATGATTTTTTAAGATTTTATAATTTTAAATATTTTTATGATATAATCAATTCTGATTATTATGACTCCACATTTTATGCTATTGTAGAATTTGATTAGTCATTTAGTTTTCTTTTTATTTTTCATATATCAATTTTTTTAAAATTTATGATGATTTGTTTTATTAGAATTTATTAAATATAAGTTATTGTTTTTAAAACATTTGAAAAATATGTTTACATGTAAAGTTTTGAATTTAATTGTCCACTTTTTATGGAAACAAAATATAATTTCCATAAATATAGATAGTTTTTTTTTTCTTGGTTTAGTTATTTTTTTGCTGTCTTTAGTTCTGTTTGGCAATAGGTTTGGATTTACATATTTTTTAATATTTTTTTTGGGACTGTTTGGATACAGCTTGTCCTTCTGTTTTAATAGTATAGATTTACTATAAACTGTTAGATCTTGGACGCTGAGCGACGTACATAGTTTTCTTTTTAGATTTACTTATACTGTAATCTTTCCTTTTTTTTATAGAAATGATTTTAATTTGACCTTTATCAAACTTAAATTATTAAGTGTGAAATATACAGTTAAACTGAAGATAGATATATATAACCCATACGTTCACTTAATCAATTACATGTGCATGAGACATAATTTGTTAACACGTCTCGTATATGTAGTTGTCATGTAAAAAGAGTCGAGTACGAGTTGGCGGTTGTATAGTTATCATCTTATTAGCGCCATTTATAAGAATGGAATGAAACTTTGAAAGTTTCAAACAGAATTCGATTTTGGTAATGCATATGTCATCTTTTGTTAGTCTTTTAATTTGAGACTTGCATAGCATGTGTAGCTAACTCATAAGAGTCCAAATTTGGTTTGATTATGCGTCTTGCGGATCAAGTCCCCTTTTACTTCAATTCTGAATAAAATATTTCTGTAAGCTTTTCCAGTAAAGAAGAGACACTAGACGACGCAAAATAGGTAACCCTCAAGGCTCAAGCAGTTTGCTCTCCACTCGTGGACATAATAAAATTATTCTACACTCTATGCATCATTCACGTGCTTTTGGTTCTGACGATAGGTACCAAATCTATTTTGTGGAATGACCACCGGCGTTGTATTCTAAAGTTGTTTATATTTTTAGAGCTGACTATGAAATCTTCGTAAGGGATCTCTCAAAGCACTTGGTTCAATAGTCAGAAAGAGTTGATACTTACATGGCATCAACCATCCGATCCAGTTTAGGCTTTTCCTCGATCAATTTTCATAGTTGTTAAATTCATAAACCATATATACAGAAAGCTAAGTGATTACTACCCGATGTAGCTATCAGCGATCTATCAAGTTGTTGTTTTTGTGTCTGTGGATTATCTACTTTCTCGTTATAAAGATATGTCTCGAAACTTTTCCCGCGAAGGAGGGTCAATAGAAGATGTAGGATGGTCACAAACGATAAAACTACGCATTGACCAAGAATGTCCTGTAGTAAGCACAATATGTGGACTTTTTTTCTTTTTTTTTGTCGGCACACAATATGTGGACTTAATAAGAGGTGTTTGGCAAGTAAATATCTGTTTACGTCATTTATTACGTCTTCTGTTCACTTTTTTCTTTGCTCTCCACGCATCTTTATTCTATATATATATACACACTAAATATATTAACCAAACCCAAACCAAAACTTGAGAATTTCTTATTAAGGCTGATCATTGAAATGGCTTCCGAAACAACCAGTGAACCTTATCCTCTTCACTTTGTTCTCTTCCCTTTGATGGCTCAAGGCCACATGATTCCCATGGTTGATATTGCTAGGCTCTTGGCCGAGCGCGGTGTGATAATAACAATTGTCACGACGCCTCTCAATGCAAGGAGGTTCAAGAATGTCCTAACACGTGCCATTGATTCTGGCTTGCCCATCAACCTAGTGCAAGTCAAGTTTCCATATCAAGAAGCTGGTTTGCCAGAAGGGCAAGAGAATATCGATTCTCTTGACACGTTTGAGCAAATGATGCCGTTCTTTAAAGCGATTAACTTGCTCGAAGAACCAGTCCAGAAGCTCATAGAAGAAATGAGCCCTCGACCAAGTTGTCTAATCTCCGATATGTGTTTGCCGTATACAAGCAAAATCGCCAAGAAGTTCAATATACCAAAGATCCTCTTCCATGGCATGGGTTGCTTTTGCCTTCTGTGTATTCACGTTGTACGCAAGAACCGTGAGATCTTGGAGAATTTAAAGTCTGATGAGGAGTATTTCATTGTTCCTTCGTTTCCTGATAGAGTCGAGTTCACAAGACCTCAAGTTCCTGTGGAAACATATCTTCCTGAAGACTGGAAAGAGATCTTGGACGATTGGGAAGAAACGGAAAAGAAATCTTATGGTGTGATAGTCAACACATTTCAAGAGCTCGAGCCAGATTATGTCAAAGGCTTTAAAGAGGCAAGGTCCGGTAAAGCATGGACCGTTGGACCTGTTTCCTTGTGCAATAAGGCAGGAGCAGATAAAGCTGAGAGGGGAAAGAAATCAGACATTGATCAAGATGAGTGCTTAAAATGGCTTGATTCTAAGGAATCGGGCTCTGTGCTCTACGTTTGCCTTGGAAGTATATGCAATCTTCCTCTGTCTCAGCTCAAGGAGCTAGGGCTAGGCCTTGAGGAATCCCAAAGACCTTTCATATGGGTCATAAGAGGTTGGGATAAGTACAAAGAATTAGTTGAGTGGTTCTCGGAAAGCGGATTTGAAGAAAGAATCAAAGACAGGGGACTCCTCATCAAAGGATGGTCTCCACAAGTCCTTATCCTTTCACATCATTCCGTTGGAGGGTTCTTAACGCACTGCGGATGGAACTCGACTCTTGAGGGGATAACTGCTGGTCTACCGTTGCTCACATGGCCGCTGTTTGGAGACCAATTCTGCAACGAGAAGCTGGTCGTGCAGATACTAAAAGCCGGTGTAAGAGCCGGGGTTGAGAAGCCTATGAAAATGGGACAAGAGGAGAAGATAGGAGTGTTGGTGGATAAAGAAGGAGTGAAGAAGGCAGTTGAAGAGTTAATGAGTGATAGTAATGAAGCAAAAGATAGAAGAAGGAGAGCCAACGAACTTGGAAAATTAGCTCACAAGGCTGTAATTGAAGGAGGGTCTTCTCATGCTAATATCACATTCTTGCTACAAGACATAATGCAACTAGCACAATCCAATAATTGATTATATGCGTCATTGAAATGTGTGTATATATATATATATATATATATATATATATATTTTTTTTTTTTTTTTTTGAGAAATTCTATTTGATGCATAAGTTAAGTTTATACACTCGTACGAATCAGCAGAAGAAAAGTTAGTGATAACTCATTAACTTTTAACATTTTTGAGACATATTTAAATTTTAAATTGTTTGCTTAAAGTTCGTTTATAGACGTATCTAAATTTAAGGAATTTTGAGGTTTCTCTCCAACAGGCATGGGTTTAAATTACAATATATGAACGGGTTACAATGAATGATAAACATAAATATAATTCAAATCAAGTAAAAGATAAATTTATCTATCATGTAAAATAATTCATAAAAAAAAAAATCTGAATATCCATCTTTGGAATAGGTTTTCTTTAGTATTCAAGAATCAAGGCCTATTTCAGGAACAATCGATCTCTATCAGCTTTCTGAATTTTTTTACATATATTAAAGTTTGAACATGATTTTTTTGATTAGGAAATCTAATAAACATATATAGATGGATATTATAGATGGATACTATTAATAGTTGATTCGACCTTTAGACAACTAAAATTATTCACACTTTTAATTTTAAGTATTAAGATAATATTCACTTGAATTGAAGATATATATAAATAACGGCTATTACAAAAAAAATGGCTATAAGTTATAACTATAAGCCACACGTTATACATGTGCAGGAAACATTGTGACCCATAGATATAGTTGTCATGGAAAGAGTCAAGTACGATTTAGCGGTTGGGAGTTATTATCTTTTAGTGCCATTTATAAGAATTGAATAAAACTTTGAAAATTTGAAACAGAGTGAGAGATGATAAGTCTTCTTGTGTTAGTCTTTTGAGACTTGTTTTGCATGTGCAGCTAACTCATGAGAGTCCAAATTTAATTTGATTTTGCGTCTAGCTTGCGGATCAAGTCCCCTTTTACTTCAGTTCTGAATAAAATATCTCTGTAAGCCTTTCCAGTAAAAAAGAGACACTAGACGACGCAAAATGGTCCCAAAAGACGAGTGGAGGAACTTTAGGCCACGAAGTATCCTCTTCTGATCTCATAGCAATTTTTCAATTATTATCTCATTAATTAGCTTTATGTGTCTTATATATTCTACGGCATCATGTTGTTAAAGTCTTATCCATCTTATATAACCTCATCAAAATCACACAATCACACACACACAAGTCACACAGTCCAAGAAATTAAAACACAAAACTTAAGTATTCGACATTTTGTTGGAACGTTATGGCCTCCGAAGAAGCCCACCAAGTTCATCCTTCTCTTCATTTTGTTCTCTTCCCGTTCATGGCTCCGGGCCACATGATTCCTATGATTGATATATCAAGGCTCTTGGCTCAGCGCGGTGTGACCATAACAATTTTCACGACGCCTCACAACGCAGCAAGGTTTAAGAATGTCCTAAGCCGTGCAATCGAGTCTGGCTTGCCTATCAACATAGTTCATGTCAAGTTTCCATATCTAGAAGCTGGTTTTCCAGAAGGAAAAGAGAATTTAGATTCGCTTGACTCGATGGGGCTTACGGTACCTTTCATAAAAGCGGCTAATATGCTCGAAGAGCCGGTCATGAAGGTCATGGAAGATATGAGACCTAGACCAAGCTGTCTAATTTCTGATTGGTGTTTGCCTTATACAAGCAAAATCGCAGATAAGTTTAATATACCAAAACTAGTTTTCCACGGCATGGGTTGCTTTTGTCTTTTGTGTATGCATGTTCTACGCCAAAACCTCGACAGCTTGAAGAATGTAAAGTCGGATAAAGAGTATTTCTTGGTTCCTAATTTTCCTGGTAGAGTCGAATTTACAACTCCTCAACTTCCTGTGAAAGCAAATGCTAGTGGGGATTGGAAAGAGTTCTTGGATGAAATGGTAAAAGCAGAATACTCATCATACGGTGTGGTAGTCAACACATTTGATGAGTTGGAGCCTGCTTATGTCAAAGACTACAAAGAGGCAATGGCCGGGAAAGTATGGTCCATTGGACCCGTTTCCTTGTGCAACAAGGTAGGAGAAGACAAAGCAGAGAGGGGAAACAGGGCGGACATTGATCAAGATGAGTGTCTTAAATGGCTTGAATCTAAAGAAGAAGGTTCTGTGCTATATGCTTGCCTTGGAAGTATCTGCAATCTTCCTCTGTGTCAGCTCAAGGAGCTAGGGCTAGGCCTTGAGGAATCCGGAAGACCTTTCATTTGGGTCATAAGAAGTTGGGAAAAGTATAACGAAATAGTTGAGTGGATAACACAGAGCGGTTTTGAAGAAAGAATTAAAGAGAGAGGACTTATTATTAAAGGGTGGTCTCCTCAAGTCCTTATCCTTTCACATCATTCCGTTGGAGGGTTCTTAACGCACTGCGGATGGAACTCGACTCTTGAGGGGATAACTGCTGGTCTACCGTTGCTCACATGGCCGCTGTTTGGAGACCAATTCTGCAACGAGAAGTTGGTCGTGCAGGTACTAAAAGCCGGTGTAAGAGCCGGGGTTGAGATGCCTATGAAATCGGGAGAAGAGGAGAAAATAGGAGTTTTGGTGGATAAAGAAGGAGTCAAGAAGGCAGTGGAAGAACTAATGGGCGAGAGTGATGATGCAAAAGAGAGAAGAAAAAGAGTAAAAGAGCTTGGAGTATTAGCTCACAAGGCTGTGGAAGAAGGAGGCTCTTCTCATTCTAACATCACATTCTTACTACAAGACATAATGCAACTAGCACAATTTCAAGAATTAGGCATACGTAATTAGTTTAAAGAAATTGAAACAGTAAATAGTTTTTTGTTTTGTTTTATATATTGGAGAAATTTGTATCGTAGCCGTGGTGAGACACGGGGATGAATGAATCAGCAGAAGACAACTCAGTGATATCTTTAACTACCAAAAAGTTTGCTTAAAGTTCGTATAGACATATCTAAATGTAAGGCTGCGCCTAATTATCGTAAACAAAGAATAAAACTTATCGTAATCTTTATCTCCCTTCTTATTTGTTGCTTTTGTCGTACATAAATTCATGAAGAGTATTAAATATATCTTACTAATAAATGTTGTATTTCCTCTTATATTACTAAAATGGAATATGCACTATGATAGGAAATGAGTGCATGCATGTATGATGTATATGAGAAATATGGTCTTTCACAAAAAAAAAAATGGAAAAAAAAAAGTTTATGAGTCATAGAGTGGTTTAGAAAAGACTCAAGTGTCTAATTTGGCGGCTGTGGATTTATCTTCTCCTACTGTTATGTATACAAAACTAGATCCGGACCCGCGCTACAGCGCGGATGAAAAGTGTCGGTTTTTGTTATTTTGTGTATCAGAATTTTGTTATCGAACCCGCGCTATAGGGTGGCGGAGAGTTATCGAGCTATTATTAATATAGGTTTATTATCGGATCCGCGCTATAGCGCGGGGGAATGATTTTGGGTTTTTATTTAACGTGTTATATAGTATTTGTTATTATTTTGTTTATTTGGTGTCAAATTTTTGGCAAAGTGTATTAAAATAACCTAGAGTTGAATAAAAATTGATTAATTAGTATATGGATTTTTTTAATAATTAGGATCTATGGTTACATTTATGTATTAATGTTTTTCCTTATAAATTCGAAAAATAATTTAGAAACTATATTAAAATGGCGTTAAAATGGTGTTATATAGTCGGTAAAGCAGAGTTTTTTTGTCATCTTTAAAATGGTGTTAGATTTTGCTATATATACACTTAATTTTAAAATAGTAAATACGTTTTTTTTTTACTTTTTATATAGCAATCTCTTTTTTGGTTATATATATATTTTTAAAATCTTCATATATTTAGGTAAATAAATGTTCACACTTAGATTTTTTATACACCACCCTATTTTTAACGAATATGTAATTTTATTATTTGAATCATGCATATTCTATTTAAAATTTTACATATTTCAAAAATTCATATTCTATATTTAAATAACTAAATCGTAACTATTAAGATTTTATAGTTATGATATTTAATAAAATTTTGAATCGATTAACAATAAAATCACAAGATTGTGGTATAATTTACATATTTAAATATTTTTCTAAAGATTGAGATCTATTTTAGGTAAATTTTACCATAATTCCTTAAAATAAGCTGTCTTTTTCTTAGTGCAATAATGGCAAGTATCCGATTGAAAATTTAACCCGGAATTCTTTAAAAAAACCGACCCAAATCCCTTGTGTACTTCTCTTTTACTATAGTAGGGATTGAACTGAACTTTAAAATGTTAAATAGAAATTTATTTTAGTTAGTGATATATGTTTTCAAATACAAATTCGATTTTGGTAGTGTGTCTTAAAGTTTGTGCTTTTTAAGCGATAGACTTTGATAGCTAACGAAGACTTCACGTTTGAATTCGTGTCTTTGTAAAGCTTTTCCGGTAAAGAAAAGACACTAGAAGACGTAAAATGGTCACAAAAGGACAACAGAAGAAAGTATTGGCCACGAGTTGTCATCTTCTAATTTTGATTTCCACGAGTTGACATCTACTGTTCGTGTACAACAACTCTAGTATTACGTCATCTTGGTGAAGTCTTTTTTGGACCCCAACTTTTCTTGTCCGTCTTATATAAACTCACGATCAAACTAGCCCACAATCCAAGAAAAACACAAAACTTGAGACTTCCGATATGGCTTCCGAGAAAACCCACCAAGTTCATCCTCCTCTTCACTTTGTTCTTTTCCCTTTCATGGCTCAGGGTCACATGATTCCTATGGTCGATATTGCTAGGGTCTTGGCTCAGCATGGTGCAACCGTAACTATTGTCACGACGCGTTATAATTCAGGGAGGTTTGACAATGTCTTGAGCCGTGCCATCGAGTCTGGCTTGCCCATCAACATAGTGCATGTGAAGTTTCCATATCAAGAATTTGGTTTGCCAGAAGGAAAAGAGAATATAGATTCGCTTGACTCGATGGGGTTGATGGTACCTTTCTTTAAAGCGGTTAACATGCTCGAAGATCCGGTTATGAAGCTCATGGAAGAGATGAACTCTAGACCTAGCTGTATAATTTCTGATTTGCTCTTGCCGTATACAAGCAAAATCGCCAAGAAGTTCAATATACCAAAAATTGTTTTCCACGGCATAGGTTGCTTTTGTCTTTTGTGTGTGCATGTTTTACGCCAAAACCTCGATATCTTAAAGAATTTAAAGTCGGAAAAAGAGTATTTCCGGGTTCCTAGTTTTCCTGATAGAGTTGAATTTACAAAGCCTCAAATTACAGTGGATACAAATGCAAGTGGAGATTGGAAAGAGTTCTTGGACGAAATGGTAGAAGCAGAATACACATCATATGGTGTGATAGTTAACACATTTGAAGAGTTGGAGCCTGCTTATGTCAAAGACTACAAAGAGGCTAGGGCTGGAAAAGTATGGTCCATCGGACCCGTTTCTTTGTGTAACAAGGCAGTGTCTGACAAAGCTGAAAGGGGAAACAAGGCTGCCATTTATCAAGAAGAGTGTCTTAAATGGCTTGATTCTAAAAAAGAAAGTTCAGTGCTCTATGTCTGCCTAGGAAGTATTTGTAATCTTCCTCTGGCTCAACTCAAGGAGCTGGGTCTAGGCCTTGAGGAAACCCAAAGACCTTTCATTTGGGTCATAAGAGGTTGGGAAAAGTATAATGAACTATCTGAGTGGATGATGGAGAGCGGTTTTGAAGAAAGAATCAGAGAGAGAGGCCTTATCATTAGAGGGTGGGCACCTCAAGTCCTTATCCTCTCTCATCCTTGTGTTGGGGGATTCTTGACACACTGTGGATGGAACTCGACTCTCGAAGGAATCACCTCTGGCGTTCCACTGCTCACATGGCCGCTGTTTGGAGACCAATTCTGCAACCAGAAACAGGTCGTGCAGGTGCTAAAAGTGGGTGTAAGTGCTGGGGTTGAAGAGGTCATGAGATGGGGAGAAGAGGAGAAAATAGGAGTTTTGGTGGATAAAGAAGGGGTGAAGAAGGCAGTGGAAGAATTAATGGGCGAGAGTGATGGTGCAAAAGATAGAAGAACAAGAGTTCAAGAGCTTGGAGAATTAGCTCACAAGGCTGTGGAAGAAGGAGGCTCTTCTCATTCTAACATCACATTGTTCTTACAAGACATACGTCAAGTACAATCTGTTGGAATATTTTAATAAATATAATTCTACGTTTTAAGAGGTTTGATTCGTTATAAATGTCAAGATTAATGTTTTATCGAGTAATTTTGAAAGTGCAAGCTAGCTGCCGGATTATGTCAAAGATTACACAAATACTGATCTCAGTAGCTAGCTGCGGACGATCTATACTCTAAAGCGATGCGACCAATAATTTACTTCGTACATAAGAATCATCAACCAATATAGATGACAAATATAATATTTAAGTTTTCATTATTAAAAAAATGATGATTAAAATTAAGTATACAAGACTGTTTTTGCTTGCTACATTTTAGATTTATTTATTTATTATATTTTGATTTATTAACAAAACTGCTGAATATATCATTCCATTTTTGATAATTTATGATAAGATACTGCTAGCTGTATATTAATATATTTTTTTCTTCATGAGATTACCTTCCTTTTTTTGGTCTCAATACTTAGGAAATCTATTATATCATTTTGGTCAAATGTTCATTGTTTCTGGTGTTCTATTCACAATATGTTTGAATCTATTTATATGATCACAGTTTCACACAAAATCATAATCCAAACGAACTAAAAATCTGGAGCAAACATGGCTTCTGAAACTAGTCACCACTCAAATTCTCAACTTCACTTTGTTCTCTTCCCATTCATGGCTCAAGGCCATATGATTCCCATGGTTGATATCGCAAGGCTTTTGGCTCAGCGCGGTGTGACCATAACAATTGTCACGACGCCTCACAACGCAGCGAGGTTCAAGAATGTCCTAGGCCGTGCCATCGAGTCTGGCTTGCCCATCAACATAGTGCATGTGAAGTTTCCATATCAAGAAGCTGGTTTGCGAGAAGGGCAAGAGAATGTAGATTTGCTTGAATCGATGGGGTCAATGTTACAATTCCTTAAAGCGGTTAACATGCTTGAAGAACCGGTCATGAAGCTGATGGAAGAGATGGAACCAAGACCAAACTGTCTGATTTCTGATATGTGTCTCCCTTATACAAGCAAAGTCGCCAACAAGTTCAAGATACCAAAGATCGTTTTCCATGGCATGTCATGTTTTCATCTTCTGTGTATGCTACTTCTACGCAGAAACCGCGAGATCTTTGACACTATAAAGTCAGACAAAGAGTATTTCCTCATCCCTTATTTCCCTGATAGAATTGAATTTAAGGAATTTCAAGTTCATCTCGTAACAGATGCTGACGGAGATTGGAAAGATTTCATGGACGACTTGGTAGATGCTGATAACAAATCATATGGTGTGATCGTCAACACATTTCAGGAGTTGGAGCCTGCTTATGTCAAAGACTACAAAGAGGCAAGGGCTGGAAAAGTATGGTCCATTGGACCCGTTTCCTTGTGTAACAAGACAGGAACAGACAAAGCAGAGAGGGGAAACAAGGCGACCATTGACCAAGGTGAGTATCTTAAATGGCTTGATTCTAAAGAAGAAGGTTCAGTTCTCTATGTTTGCCTAGGAAGTATCTGCAACCTTCCTCTGGCTCAGCTCAAGGAGCTCGGGCTAGGCCTCGAGGAATCCCAAAGACATTTTATTTGGGTCATAAGAAGCTGGCAGAAGTACAACGAAATAGTTGAGTGGATAACACAGAGCGGTTTCGAGGAAAGAATCAAAGATAGAGGCATTCTCATCAAAGGATGGTCTCCTCAAATGGTTATCCTTTCACATCCTTCCATTGGAGGATTCTTAACACACTGCGGATGGAACTCAACTCTAGAGGGGATAACCGCTGGTCTACCATTGCTTACATGGCCGCTCTTTGCAGATCAATTCGGCAACGAGAAATTGGTCGTGGAGGTACTTAAAGCCGGAGTAAAAGTTAGTGTTGAGCAGCCTATGGAATGGGGAGAAGAGGAGAAGATAGGAGTGTTGGTGGATAAAGAAGGAGTGAGGAAGGCAGTTGAAGAGTTAATGGGTGAGAGTGATGATGCAAAAGATAGAAGAAGAAGAGCCAAAGAGCTTGGAGAATTAGCTCACAAGGCTGTGGATGAAGGAGGCTCTTCTCATTCTAATATCACATTCTTCTTACAAGACATAATGCAGCAAGTGAAATCCAAGAACTGAATATTACATCATTGTTTGGTAATATTATGATAATTATGAACAAAAGAGAAGAAGCTTATGCACTAGATGATGATTTCCGATGTATGCTGTCTAGATTTGCTTGTCATGTAAATTTTTTAAAACTGCACCTTTACTTCCCTTAAGTTTCAATTTTAATTTTAATTTTTTTTAAGTTTGAAAATTATAATCTTAAAAATAACATAAACTGTAGCAGCGGTACGTCTTAAATCTCTCCTTAATATTCATAAATCTTTAATACAGTAAACTTCATCAAACCTACCCCCCCCCCCCCCCAAATTGCTAAACTATATATATATTCCGCTATATAGGTATGTAACTATGTATTTTGATTTAACATTCAGTCATTCATTCAAAAAAGAAAAAAACTAGGTATATTGCTTCTCTTATTCAAGTTGAATTTTGCGGCTGTGAATTCTTGGCCGCCGTATATATATATACTAATAATCTCTGTGAACCATATTGTGTTTTATAACGAAGAAGTCAATTTGGGTTTGTGTGATTGTTCATAAGAAACTACGAAAAGACCAATATATAGCCGTTACATGTATTGCTCAATAAGTTTGGTTTAGTTGAATGAGTTGAATCAATTTTTCAACTTCTTCATTCAAATGGTGACAACTAGTTTAGTTCTGAACCATATGATGTCAATACACTCCATCTCATCCCGCTTCTTGCACAGACAATATTTTTATGTACGAATAACGGATCGACGACCTATTTCCCCTGATAACTATCACATCGTATCATAACACCACAGAACTTTGACCTCGTCTTCAAACCACCCGAATCAAAAGTTTTATTGCTATTTCCACCCGAATCAAAAGTTCTATTCTTATTTCTCCCCGATTATCATAGTTCTCATCTAATTTTCCAAAAATCTGGGTTTTACACGGTTAAAAATCGGGTTACTGTTTGGATGAACCAAAAGACGAATCAATTAACCGGATTAAACCTTATTCAACCCAATTAGAGAACTAAACCAACCTGGTTAGAAAAATTAACCTAAGAACCCAAAATCGTTTCAGATTCGTGGTGTTAAACTTGGGGTTGAAGATGATTCTTGTTTGATTCGATGTTACTGATGCATTTTCTACTTTGATTTGCAGATTTTGTCTTTGCTTTTGGAACGATTTACGAATCCAGATTTGTTGAATCGTCATAAGCACGTTTTGATTTTTTTTTTGTTCTTGATTTGATTCTTTTAGACTCCATTAATGTTGGCTGCGATGTATGAAAGGATCTCTTGTGTGAAGAAGGCTCACTGAAGTTGGAGCTAATGTATGTTTTTTTTAAAATCAAGTTTGGGATTTGGGTTTTGAACATATTATGGACATGCTAACTGTCTCTTATCCTTTTCTTGAATTCTTGATCAGTTTTCAATCAAACTCCTTGGATGAGAAAGAGATGATAAAGGAGCGACTCCGTTGAATGTGTGAATGTGTTGTTGGACAGTGGTTCTCTTGTTTGTGCAGCTACTAGTGCATATGGGTAATGGCTTCTCTCTTCATGCAACATTTTCCATTGAAACAACATTTGTTAAAAGTTGGAACTAATTCTCTAAGCTTTTGTTGAATCAACATTTGTTAAAAATACACCAAAATCAATTTGGGGATTTTGATTCTGGGTTTTTTTGAAATTTAGGGTTCTTGAGTCAAGGTGAGTTGGTCTCGGGTCGGGTTAAAAATGAATCAGGTTTTAAATTTGTTATAAACCATGTTTCATTGGTTTTGTATCGGGTTTGGTTCGAAAACCATGTAAACCCACGCAATTGGAGAAATAGGAATAGAACTTTCGATTCGGGTGGAAATAGCAATAGAACTTTTGATTCGGGTGGTTTAAGGACGAGATCAAAGTTCTGTGGTGTTATGATACGATGTGATAGTTATCGGGGGGAAATAGGTCGTCGATCCACGAAGAACTAGTAAGCACTTTGTTCATGAGTTAAAAAAAAATAAGAGTAAAAGTTCCAAAATTTTTAAACAAGATTTGTCAAATACTTTATATTTTTGAGGTAAAAGAAGTTTAGATATTAAAAAACGTTTAAATTAGCTTTTTGATCTATATAACTCATAAAAACCAAAACAAAAAAAACAAAAAAAAACATAAACAATGGGAGGTTTGGATTATAATCTAAGGAGTAACAAACATCCTGGTTACTATAATACAAATACTATAATACAAACACTTTGATTTATTGAAAAGACTTCTTCAAGGTCATAATTGGGACTTTTTTAATTCTTTCAGATTCATTGTCCATATGTTATAATTAAAAAGAAGAGAAAACGTACGTGTTTGATTTTCTAAATTCTTCTCAATACTTCATTTTTTTGCGGTTGTGAACTCTTAATAATTTCGACGTAGTTCTCTAAAGATATTTTCTCTTACATTTTTTGGGCTTATATGAAATTATGAATACAAAAAGAACAATTGAGTACCCGCCACGATATATGTTCTCAGTACTGCGGTTCTGGTGAAGTGTGAACCACTTGTTGTTCTGTAACTCTAACGAATAAGCCAATTTGCTTTTGCTTTTGTGATATCACTTTTTAATTATCTCCTTGACCTCCACAGCTTTTTTTTTCCTTTTTGCCTGAGTCGATGAATATATATATATATATTTTTTTTCTTTGGGCAAAAGTTGATGAATATAAATATATATGTATTACATAGAGAAACAACACACACAAATCAGAGTCAAAAGCAAAAGCAAAACAAAAACAAAAATAACGTAGAGAGTTCGTCATGGCATCCGAAACTAGCCACCAATTTCGTACTCCTCTTCACTTTGTTCTCTTTCCTTTTATGGCTCAAGGTCACATGATTCCCATGGTCGATATTGCAAGGCTCTTGGCTCAGCGCGGGGTGACTATAACTATAGTCACAACGCCTCACAACGCAGCCCGATTCAAGAACGTTCTTAGCCGGGCCATCCAGTCCGGCTTGCCCATCAATCTTGTGCAGATAAAGCTTCCATCTCAAGAATCCGGTTCATCGGAAGGACATGAGAATTTGGACTTGATCGATTCGTTGGGGGCTTCATTAACCTTCTTTCAAACAACAAATATGCTCGAGGAACCGGTCGAGAAGCTCTTGAAAGAGATCCAACCTAGGCCAAGCTGCATAATTGCTGACATGTGTTTGCCTTACACAAATAGAGTTGCCAAGAACCTTGGTATACCAAAAATCATCTTTCATGGCATGTGTTGCTTCAATCTTCTTTGTATGCACATTATGCACCAAAACCACGAGCTCTTGGAAACTATAGAATCTGAAAAGGAGTACTTCCCCATTCCAAATTTCCCTGACAGAGCTGAGTTCACAAAATCTCAGCTTCCAATGCTCTTACCTACTGGAGATTGGAAAGAGTTCCTTGACAGAATGACGGAAGGGGAAAACACTTCGTATGGTGTGATTGTTAACACGATTGAAGAGCTTGAGCCAGCATACGTTAGAGACTACAAGAAAGCTAAAGCGGGTAAGGTATGGAGCATCGGGCCGGTTTCCTTGTGCAACAAGGTAGGAGAAGACAAAGCTGAGAGGGGAAACAAGGCGGCCATTGATCAAGACGAGTGTATTAAATGGCTTGATTCTAAAGATGAAGGCTCGGTGCTATATGTTTGCCTTGGAAGTATATGCAATCTTCCTCTGTCTCAGCTCAAAGAGCTCGGGTTAGGCCTTGAGGAATCCGGAAGACCATTCATTTGGGTCATAAGAGGTTGGGAGAAGTATAACAAGTTACTTGACTGGATCACTGAGAGCAGTTTTAAGGAAAGAACCAAAGAGAGAGGCCTTGTCATAAGAGGATGGTCGCCTCAAATGCTTATCCTTTCACACCCTGCCGTTGGAGGATTCTTGACACATTGTGGATGGAACTCAACTCTTGAAGGAATCACTTCAGGCGTTCCATTGCTCACTTGGCCACTGTTTGGAGACCAGTTCTGCAACGAGAAACTGGCGGTGCAAGTACTAAAAGGCGGCGTGAGAGTTGGGGTTGAAGATGCCATGAGATGGGGAGACGAGGAGAATATAGGAGTATTGGTGGATAAAGAAGGAGTGAAGAGAGCAGTGGAAGAATTAATGGGTGATAGTATTGATGCAAAGGAGAGAAGAAAAAGAGTGAAAGAGCTTGGAGAATTAGCTCACAAGGCTGTGGATGAAGGAGGCTCTTCTCATTCCAACATCACATTATTGCTACAAGACATAATGCAACTAGCACAATCCAATAACTGATTGTATCGTTTCTTGGTTTTATCCAAAAATGTAACGTTAGTTCTTGATTACATCTTTTCTAAAGAAAAATTGATAACATTTCTATTTTATAATTAGCTTTGTCTATATTTTCGAATCTAATAATCATAGATCATACTAACAGCCCGTTATTCAAAGTTAGTTACTTGGTACATAGTTAAGATTGAGTAATCAACGTCTATCAAAGTTATGTCAATACGTAACCGATTAAAAAGACATTAAAAAAAAAAAAAAGAACTTATGTACAATGAAGTATAAGAAACGCATAATATCTAATATTCTTTTAGTTGTAGATGAGTGTAAGAAACCTACTAGCTCCTAGTGGTCCTGCAAGAGGAGGATTTCAACTTCGATATTGCTTCTAGCGGCTTCATAAGTCTAAGAGTTTAGTATAACTTTAACGACACTTGTTGTTTGTTAACTTGTTGAAGTCTTATCAACAACTCTTTCCCCTCGATCTTGACAAGTGACAACATGTGTTCACGATGTTTATATCTTAAAGACTAAAAAGATGATAAATTTCGGATTGTTCCGTTCCGGGATGGATTTTTCTAACCAGGCCTCATAAAATTTTCTATTCCACTTTCGTTTACACATTTATTTCAACGGATATATGAACATGTCGGATGAGAGACATGTTCATGAGTTGCATATTTTGGGACCCTTGTGTTCGCTTCTTGTAATCTTCTGCTTACAAATATTACAATATGGGCTTTCAAATTGCCTTAACTTACAAGGCCCAATGATATATATATTCAAGTCCAATAACTGTTTACGAACCACTGCCACGTGGAAAAGTGAATCAAAAGAGTGAAAAAAAAACAACAAAAACACAGAGGAAGCAGTGCGGCGGTCGCCGGCGAGGACGTGCTCGTCGAAATAAACTCCTTCAACCTAATCTTCTCAAGGTAGCTGAGATTGTAAGATTCATCAAACAATTTACTTCTCACTCTTGCTTTCATGGGCTATACTTAGATCTCTCTGTGCTCACTCTTCACTTTTGGTTTTTTCTGCTCCTCGAGATTTTGATATCATCGAAATTTCGTGAAAAACGTTAATGTTGGGTTTATTACTATACTGAGTTGTTAATTTTGTGTAGTTGTTTCGTTAAAAGAGTGAAACTTGCAGAGGTATCAATGGAAAGCGATAAAGAGGAGCCAGTGGTGTTCTTGGACCGTACAACCCGAGCAACACGGGGTAAACGGTAAGAAGCACTTCGAGCTATAGCTTCTGATTGATGAATGTGTTTCACCCTGAGTTTGTGTTTTTGAAATTTCTGTTCTTTATTTTTCTTGTTTGCAGGATGACCAAGTTGCTTGATGACGAAGTAGAAGAAGATGAGCAGTTTTGGAATCAAGAAGCACTTAAAGAGGTTTGTTTTGTTGTTATGTATATCATATACTACTCTCTTAAAGAGATGGGAATGAGCTCTAATTGTAGATGTTATTATATATAATGGAACAATCAGATTTATAGATAAGCAGGTGATCAGATACTATTGCAGAAATTTTAGTATGTATGTATGTTGTCAATTTCATATCTCTATATCTTTGCTATCTGCAGGAAGAACATGATGATGAGTATGAAGCAGAAGGTGAAGTTGCTGATGAATTTGACAGCGACTTCAATGACGATGTATTTTCACATGTTGCTTGTATATTCAGTACTTATTCATCAAGCTGTTGCTCAAGTTCCATTTCTTAAAGCTTCTTTTACTTGCCTTTTGTTTGGGAATAGGAGCCCGAGCCTGAAGCAGTAGCAGTAAATGAAAAAGAATTGAGGTTTGAATCGTTTGACATTTTTCTAAGCTCATTATATGATGGCTATTATGTAAAATTTTGTTTTAGTTTTGTTACAATTGTACACACTGTTGCAGGGATCTGCCAAAGAAGCGGCTAATTTACCCTGGGAAAACTGCTCCGAAGAAAAAGAAGAAGAAGACAAAGGTAATTTCGAAACTAGAAGATATTCCTGGAGATGAGAAGCCAGGTGAAGAACTGGGAAACAAGGAACAAGACGAAAATGAAGAGAATGAAGCACAAGAAGATATGGAAGGTGAGAAGGTCATTAGGAAATCAACACGGACTTCAGTGGTTGTACGGCAAGCAGAAAGAGATGCATTGCGTGCTGCTATACAAGCAACAGCAAAGGTTTCCTCAGAATTTAACCCTAGCTATTTGCATTAATGGCTACACTTTGATCTTTTTTTTTCTTCCAAGTTTTGCCATGTTGAATTTGTTATTGTGTTTTTCAGCCAATACAAAGAAAAAAAGTAGGGGAGGAAAAACGGATGACCCAAGAAGAAATGCTGCTGGAAGCTGCTCAAACAGGTTTGGATTTTATGATGCTGCATCCGTTTACTATCATAAACTCAAATTGCTAAAGTAAGTTTTTTTGCAGAAATCATGAACTTGAGGAATTTAGAACGTGTCTTGGCAAGGGAAGAAGAAGTGAAAAAGAAAGCGATTGTGCATAAAGCAGTCTACAAGGGTCCTCAGATTCGGTATCTTTCAAAGGATGGTCAGCTCTCCAGCAAAATAATTTTCCAATTTAATCGGATCTTTCTAGAAAAGTAAGAACTATATTTGTTTAAACTTCTAACTTTACTTGCAGGATGCAACTATTTAGAATTCTGTAATGGTGCGTCGTTCAGTTCAGAGTTGTCGACGAAGTGTGTTCCCTGTAAGTAATTTGGTTCTGAATTGTGTTTGGAGATGAACAATAGATTTGTTCTTGATCACTTCTTTATTTTGGCTTGTTTAATCTTTTTGCCAGACCCAGAAAAAGCTGTATGTGTGATTACGGGATTACCTGCCAAGTAAGAGTTTCCCTATTATTCTACTTTGTTATTGGAAGAACAAGATCTTGTGGAATGAGCACGAGTAGATTCTATTTAGGTTTATCAAAAATGTTATTGGTTTCTTGGTTAACTACTTGTCAAAATGATATGATTATCTTTGTTATCAACCCAAGCAACTTTAGGATCTTTCTCTGCAATTCTGAAACTAGTTCTTGATTGCTATATATTGCTGTTACAGGTACCGGGATCCGAAAACTGGACTTCCGTATGCAACTAGAGACGCTTTCAAAGCAATACGTGAAAGGTGTTATTTCATTCAAAATTGCTGCATTTTTTTTTTTCACTTAAAAAAGTATGCATTTGTTGTTTTCTTAAACGGATCAAAACAAAGTGATGTTATTGATGGAAACAGACTCTTTTAACTTTAGGGTTAGAATCTAATATGTTTTTGCTTATGTTTATGCTTTTCTGAAGGTTCATGGATGAACATGATGGTTTGAGAAAGAAAATGGAGATGGGAGATTTGTTTGATACACTTGTGGCGAAAGGTTTTACAACAAAACAAAAGAGAACAAAGATCCCGAAGCTAAACAAATCATTTACTCTCAGAAACTCTGCTCGCTTCCTTACTTTCGAGTCTGAAGAAGAAAGTGAAGATTCAGATTAACAATAACCACCTCTTCCTGGTTTGGTTAGTATATTAAAACAAAAGCCTTTGTTTCCTTAAATTCCTTGAAACATGACCATGAACTCACAGTCGTAAACTCGTAATCATGTTTGTAGAATCCGCAGCTCACATGATTGGAACTTCCCACAACCAGTGTGTGTATAAAATCATCGAATGGTTTTGGTTCTCAGAGATTAGAAGCGAGATGAACATTCATGGAGGATGCTTTCTTGATCAGAGCTTGAATTGGAAACAACACTGTAGTAACCCAACCAGAACCTAACGACATCATTACAGAATCAGAGAGAAAGTGTAGTTTTTCCATATTTTGTTGACCTTGTAAATCCATGTAATTCTATCGCCTTACCTGAACTTATTGTTGTGACACGAAATATGATGTTTTTGGTTCAGGTAATATTAATTTCACATTAAACCGAACCGAATGAACATTAGATGTTACTTCGGTTCCGTTGAACCAAACTCCAAAGGTATAAATACATCACTGATTTGAAAAATTGGAACTTAACTGCGATTACAGACTCAGAGCTCCAATGGCATAAAGGACGTAAGTATGATTCGTAGTTCCGATTCAAGCTTCAAAACCAAGAAACACCAATGCCTTATCTTACTCAAGCTTTGCTCCTCATTTAAACATCTTCTACAGATCCATGGCCAAGTCCATGTCTCCGCTCTCCAAAATAACAGCTTTATTATCAGCGAGCTTGTACGGGTATCTTCACTGTCTCACGCCAAGGACCTTACTTTTGCACGAACCCTTCTGCTTCACTCTTCTGATTCGACTCCTTCCACTTGGAATATGCTTAGCCGAGGCTATTCTTCGAGTGATTCTCCTGTAGAATCGATATGGGTTTACTCTGAGATGAAGAGACGACGAATCAATCCTAATAAGCTCACTTTTCCTTTCCTTCTCAAGGCTTGCGCTTCATTTTTAGGTCTCACTGCAGGGAGACAGATCCAAGTTGAGGTTTTGAAGCATGGGTTTGATTCTGATGTCTATGTTGGGAACAATCTTATCCATCTGTATGGTTCTTGTAAGAAAACTTCTGACGCCAGGAAGGTGTTCGACGAAATGACTGAGAGAAATTTTGTTTCTTGGAACTCGATCATGACTGCTCTCGTTGAAAATGGTAAGTTCAATTCGGCGATTCAGTGTTTTCTGGAGATGATCGGTTTGCATTTCTGTCCCGATGAGACGACCATGGTGGTTTTGCTCTCTGCGTGTGCTGGTAACTTGAGCTTGGGAAAATTGGTACATTCACAGGTGATGGTAAGAGAGTTAGAGTTAAACTGTAGACTTGGTACTGCACTTGTCGACATGTATGCAAAATCTGGTGGGTTAGGGTATGCTAGGTTTGTTTTTGAGAGAATGGCTGACAAAAATGTTTGGACTTGGAGCGCCATGATTGTAGGATTAGCACAATATGGATTTGCAGAAGAAGCACTTCAACTTTTCTCGAAGATGATGAAAGAATCATCTGTTAGACCAAACTACGTGACATTTCTCGGTGTTTTATGCGCTTGTAGCCACACGGGATTGGTGGAGGACGGGTACAAATACTTCCACGAAATGGAGAAAACACACAAGATCAAACCAATGATGATTCATTATGGGGCAATGGTCGATATACTGGGACGTGCTGGTCGACTAAACGAGGCCTATAACTTCATAAAGAAAATACCTTTGGAGCCTGATGCGGTTGTTTGGAGGACTCTACTATCTGCGTGTAGTATCCACCACGATAACGATGATAAGGGAATTGGAGAGAAAGTAAAGAAGAGATTGATTGAGTTAGAGCCAAAGAGGAGTGGGAATTTGGTGATTTTGGCGAATAGGTTTGCGGAAGCGAGGATGTGGGATGAAGCAGCAGAAGTGAGGAGGGTAATGAAGGAAACTAAGATGAAGAAGATCGCTGGAGAGAGTTGTCTAGAGCTAGGAGGGTCAGTTCATAGATTTTTCTCTGGGTATGATCCTCGTTCTGAGTATGTATCCATCTATAAGCTATTAGATTTGTTCAAGTTTCACTTGACATATGACAATCATTTGGTGTCTAGTGATCTGAATCAATAATCGTCGTAACGTCTCTTCTAGTTTTTGAGTAAAAAAAAAAGAGAGTAACTACAGAAATAGATTCTCTTGTTAATATTTTTTTATTTTACAATTTAAGACCTTTGGTATTTCCTCGATGTGAGATTGAAGATGAAGAAGATGTGTGTATCGTCTTCCCTTTGAGAGTTCTATCTGTTCAAATTGTGTTGGTTCATAGTTTCACTTCTTCTTGTTTGTATTGTTCACCTCTTGTCTCTCACTCTCTTTTCATCTGTGTTTGTGGTTTCGATTATACACTTGATTTTTAATTTACAACGACGTTGTTGACTTCTTAATTTGAATGTCTATACAATATCTTATATTCAATTTAGTGCACTAGTTCTCATGATCGCTACTCTGTTACCACCCCAAGTTGAAAAGAATTTATAAGAGACATGATTAAATACCATAATAACTAGTTATGTTTATAATCTTATTTTTATTTATTTATTAGTTTTTCACCATCAATTATGAGCATGAGACTGAGAACAAGAATACAATATATCATCTTATTATTACAAATATAATATATAGAAGTTTACGTACCATCATCTTATTATTACAAACACAATACCATACAATCATCATGATCACCATCATATATGTTATAAATTAGTTGGCTAGACCATATCTCCTGCTGCTGAGGTGCTGGTTCTTAAGAACATCTGTCTTCATAGCCGGTGGAGACTGCTCACACTTTCTATGACAGTCGGTACATTCTGCTGCTGATGATGAACGTTGACAATGGGGACGACACAACTTACTGCATTCCACTTCAGATTTTGCTTCACCTCCGATCACAAACGCCGCTACTATCAACACCATCATCACTGTCATGCTCAAAGTCTTACCCATCTTAGTTTCCTCTATCTATTTGTTTTGTTTTCTTTCTTTTATGTTGTTGATCAATGAATGAGTCTATCATATGAAAGTAAGCCTCTATTTATAGTTTCTAAGGAAGTGATTACTATCTGATTTCCAATTATTAAAATTTTAATTTTATTATATATTTCTCTACTTCAGAAAATTTGAAAGTATTATATGTTTTCTGGGAATGTTTTATATTATAGCTATATAGTTTCATGTTGATCAATAAATGAGTATATTATTTGAAAGTGGGTCTCTCTACTTATCATTCTAAATAATTCTTTATTATCTGATTTTTAATTAATAAAAATTAAATTCAATTTATATTTTCTACTTCAGAAATTTAAAAGTACAATATTTTTGTGGGGTTGTTTTCTATTATAGCAATTCAATTTTGTGTTAATCAATGAATGAGTCAGTCTATCATACTAAAGTAAGTCCATATTTATAATTCTAAAGAAATGATTACAGTCTGCTTTCCAATTAATAATTTTTAATTAATTATATATTTTCTACTTCAAAAAAAAAAGTATTATGTTTTTGTGGATTTTTTTTTTGATATTATAGCAATACAATATTAAGTATATTATGTGAAAGTTAAGTCTCTATTTATAATTCTAAATAATTGATTACTATCTGATACTTAATTAATAATTAATTTTTTCTACTTCAGAAATTTAAATTAAAAGTATAATATGTTTTGTGGTAATGTTTTATATTATAGCAATACAGTTATATGTTGATCAATGAATGAGTCTATTATGTTAAAGCAAGTCTCTATATTATAATTTTACAGAAGTGATTACTATCTGATTTCTAGTTAATAAAATTTTATTCAATTTCTACCTTAGAAATTTAGCAGGATCATAGTTCTCTCTCTGAACGATCGACACATATTATTTGTCATGTACCCTAGATTGTCGGACCCAGGCAGTTGTTTGTATGTCTTCGACGGATTAGCTCTAGCAGCGATATGGACTTCTTTAGCCACTGCCATTATGTCCCTGCTGATATCAGATCCACTCGCAAAGTTTCCTATCACTACCACCACCTTTTCATAGTTTTCAGACCACCATTGTCAAATAATTGAATCCTATACATTTGAAACTCAACACCAACATACTTGAATTACTTACATCAAATATTCCTACTAACCTAAGAAGACCTCCTATGTATCCACTAGAACTCAAATACCACATGTTTTGTTATAATTTGTTATTTTTACTAATCATAATTTACTTACATAACAATCAAATAAACTAAAAATAATATTTTTTTTGGTCAACAGCATTCACTAAAACCAATATTATATTTCATTTTTGTTAAACATAACCTTAGATTATTGTAATTAAGAATCAAAACCTAAATTTGAAACTTAACTTAATTTATGTTATACCTGTATAATATGTAAAATCATTAAAATAGCTAAGATTATTTCAATATTACATTAACTACTACAACTATTTTATAAAGATGTAAGATGTATATATTATATGTCTTATCCTAGAGAAGGTAATCTAAGTTTTAAGCTCATATTATGATTTTATATTATATTCTTTAATTAAAAAATCTCATCTTCTTTTTTTTTTTTTTTTTCAATTTCAATATTACTTTAACTGCTATACAACTATTTTAATTTATAAAGATATAAGATATATTATGTCTTATCCTAGAGAAGGTAGTCTAAGTTTTAAGCCCATATAACAATTTTAGATTGTATTCTTTAATTAAAAAATATCTTCTTCTTCTTTTTTTTTTTTTCCTTTCAATTTCAATATATATTACATTAACTACTACAACTATTTTATAAAGATATAATATATATATTATATATTAAATACTAAGTTTATGATATTAGATTATATTCTTTAATTAAAAAATCTCTTCTTCTTTTTTTCCTAGTTAACTTTTTTCTTAATAATATAAATAATGCATATTATGTGTTGTTAGCTTCATGGTTACAACAAAGACCAAATGATGCATGCTGAGCTTCCGTGGGAATTGGTAGAAGAAATACTCTATCTTCTTCCGCTTCTATCTCTAGTCCGATTTAAAATTGTTTGCAAACAATGGAACAGACTTTTCAAAAGCAAATCGTTCAACAACAACTCGGTTCATATCTGTCGTCCTCACTTTCTCGTATGGACCGATTCAAAGATGTATTCAGTAAGCGTCGATCTCAACAATGATCCAAAGATAGGGACGCATGCGTTACCCTTAGACATTCCTTCTTTTCATAATCACATGAGTACAAGCTTCCTTCCTTGTGATGGCTTATTGTTTTGTTACTCCTTGTCAATGAGCAATAAAGCTGCGGTTTGGAACCCGTGGTTGAGACAAACTAGATGGATCAAGTCTAACTACAAATATTTCAATTTTCGTGGAATGGGATACGATAGTGGTAGACCTGAAAAGGGTTACAACATCGTTGGTTCTTCTAAAACAATTGATATCTACACGTGAGAAACTAATGAGTGGAAGTGTACAAATGTTTGTGCGGGAACACATATCCGCAGAAGTACTGATGTGTCTTTGAATGGAAATTTCTATTGGACTGATCGTGATCAGGAGACCGGTGAGTATTTTATCCAAAGTTTCGATTTTTCGAAACAAATATACAAAGTTTTCTGCGTTCTACAGTGGAATATGGAAAACACTTCTTTTCCCGTCCTCTCAACTTATAAGAAAAATCGGCTTTCACTGTTAAAAAATTCGATTAGAACAAAAAATAATATTGAGGTTTGGGTGACAAAAAACAAGATTAATAATGACGATGTAGTGGAGCATGTAGAGTGGATAAAGTACATGACAGTTTCGGTACCTATTAGTAGGACCATTTCTCCAAGTTTCGTTATCGATAATGTTTACAACAAAAAGAGTCTCGTCATGTGTTGTTTGGAATATGAAAATGAAAAGCTTTGCATTTATACTGTGAGGGGTAATGCGTTAACGAAGACTCAAATGGACGTTGATGCTAAACATTTCCTTAAACATTGTACCTATGTTCCCAGTTTGATCCCAATTCCTCCCGAGAGTCCACATATTTTCAGGAACTAAAGTTTTAAATATTTATTATTTTGGATTACTTGTGTTTTATTATTTTCTTTAGCACTTACATAATTTGATTTCAAAAGTATGTCTTTTTCATTCAATATTGATGTACTATTATTATCTTTAAACAAAAAGTACAATATGAGTAAAAACAAAAATAAAGAGCATATGTTTACCGAATTTAATATGTTAGATAAAGTCGAATTTATCGCGTAATGGAGGTGATAATTTCTTACAAGTTACATCTATGTGACATGAGGTGTTTTCTTTCTTTTATGTTGTTGATCAATGAATGAGTCTATCATATGAAAGTAAGCCTCTATTTTTATAGTTTCTAAGGAAGTGATTACTATATGATTTCCAATTATTAAAATTTTAATTTTATTATATATTTTTTCTACTTCAGAAATTTAAAAGTATAATATGATTTCTGGGAATGTTTTATATTATAGCAATACAGTTATATGTTGATCAATGAATGACTATTATGTTAAAGTAAGTTTCTATATTTATAATTCTACATAAGTGATTACTATCTGATTTTCAGTTAATAAAATTTTATTCAATTTCCACCTTTGAAATTTAAAAGTATATTTTTTTACTGTGTGTACATGTTTTAAATTATAGCAATACAGTTTTAATAATACATGTATACTTTAATACTTGTGTTTCTATATATATATGAAAAATAATCTAGGGTTCATTTGTATGGACTTTCCTGTAGATTTGTTTTTAAATTAAAATATTTTGTACCTATTCTAGAATAGAAAATTAAATGAAAGTAATATATAAAAATTTTATGATGTTTTCAAATCTTCTACTTAATTAATTATATATCTTATTATTATAATATCTATACTATTAAAACTCAAAGACCCATTAAAAGGTCATCTATGCGATAGGCCGATAGCAAGTATTATCCCTAGTTAACTTTTAAAACACTCATGGTTTAGTGATATTATTTTTACTGAGAATTTTTTTTATTTTATAATGGATTTGAGTGGTGTTATGTTTAAACATTTCTGATATTAGTTTTCTGTTTTTAGCTTTAGATTTTGGATTTTATAATCTCATTTTGATTTGTTTAAACTTTCAAGCATAACCAAAAATTGTTGGTATCTTAACATGTTTACCAAAATTTTTTTTTGAGTAATAATATAAATATGTTTACGAATTACGATGATATACAAAATACTTTGACAAAAATAGTTTCGGAAGAAAACAAATTTAGAAAAGCAAAAAAATGCGTCCGTTACTAAACGGATGATCAAAATGGACCAGCGAAAACGAAAGTGAAACTGTATACAAACGCAAATCATAAACGCGGTTATGTTATAAAGACATAAAAGTGAAAAACGCAAATTTTCGCGTTTTCAATTTGATAAATACCCTTGTGAGATGTTAATATTTACGAAAATTTGCCACTGCTTTGTAGACTGTAATTTACTGCATTTCTTCTCTCTATCTTCTCCTCCCAATGGCTGCAAAATCCTAATAGCCAACCTCAAGGATTCGGTTTCATCTTCTTCGTACAGATCCATGTATAAAACCTCGCCTGAACCCTAATTTCGCTGAGATTCGATCGGATGTTAACTTCTAAATCCTGATATCTCCCTCGACTCGTCTCTGATAATTTTCATCGTTATAAGAACTAGGTTTAAGACTCTTCAAGGTTCGTTTCGCTTTTTTTTTTTTTCTTTCTATGCCCGATTCGAAAAGCTTCCCCTTTTTGAATATGACGATTAGATAAGAGCATGTTTGATTGGGGACTTGATTGCTGAATCTACTCATCACTAGTTCATACTTCTCCTTTTATTCCATTTTTCGGTTCTGTGTAGATTTCATTGAGGGAGCGTTTGTTTTTGTAGAGCAGATTCGTTGCAATGAAGGAAGATTTTGTGCCCGAGTCTATAGGCGGCGGTATCAGTTCGGTTTGGCAATCCCCGGTTAAGCGGATGGCTGTAGACGGTGGTTCTTGTGGGGAGACTGGTGATAGGAGTAGGACTAGCTGTAAGAGAATTAAAACGACTCAGGTCAATGGTTTTATTGTTTACACTAGAACTAGGAAGACTAAATTCACCAAGCTTCACGAGGAAGATAAAAATCCTGGATTGTTGGAAAATGGAATGTCGAATCATCTCGAGAAGTCAAAACCAGCAAGTGGTGTTACAAATGGGTCAGTTGATATGTGTCACAACAATTCCATAGCTGAAACTAACATTAGTGGGAGCTCTTGTGTCAAGAATACAATTGTTGAAAGCCCTGCTGGGACTGCGGAAGAGAGGGTACATACTGGCAGCTTGCCTGAAAGTCCGGCAGTTGAGACTGAAAATAGCTCTCTAGTCGATGTTGTAATTGATGACATCGATTTTGTAGAACTGTTAAATGAAGAGATTCCTGTTGAAATTCTGTCTGAAGGAAGCCTAGATTTTGAGATTAAGAGACTAGGAACTAAAGTCAGAACCATGGGAAAATCCTATAGCGTGTCGAAGGAGAAAAGGCATGGATCTTTTAAGCGTACAGCACAGATCTATAAATCACTTTTGAGAGTGAAGAAGGTAAACAACATGGTGCCTGAGGATGTAGAGGTTCTTGGGGAACCAGAGTTTGATCATGAGGGTTTAGATGAACAGAGTCATTCTGGCCGTCTGGCGGACAAGTCCGTTTCACTCCGCAGGAGGCCAGAAACAGTGAGGGAACTTTTTGAGACTGGTATACTCGATGGTGTGTCGGTGGTTTACATGGGTACTGTTAAGGTTGGGCTATTCAGTTTGTTTTGTATGCTTTTAAGTTTTATGTCCATTTCATTCTAGCTTAATCTTAAAAATGATTTGTTTATGTGTCAGTCTCAAGCCTTTGGTCTCCGTGGCATCATTAAAGATGGTGGAATTTTGTGCTCATGTTCCTCATGTGATTGGGCTAATGTAAGAATATGTTTTCACCCTGCAACTTAGAATGCAGGTTGACTTTAATGATCTCTACTTATTTTATCAGACGTACTTTGGTATAAAAATAATTTCCTATTTTTGTAGGTTATTTCAACTTCCAAATTTGAGATTCATGCTTGTAAACAATACAGACGAGCATCGCAATACATTTGTTTTGAGAATGGTAAGAGCCTGCTAGATGTTCTGAAGATTAGTAGGAACACTCCTCTACATGCACTTGAAGCAACAATTCTTGATGCTGTTAATAGTGCTTCTAAGGAAAAATGTTTCACCTGTAAAAGATGCAAAGGTGGGTCTGTTATCTTATTTCTCCATAGGTTGTTTTAATATGTTTCGATTTCCTAAATTTGTGGTTAAAATTGAACTTTAATGCCTGTGCTTTCTAGGTGTCTTCCCATTATCCTCTCTTGGCCATAGAGGGTTTCTGTGTATGTCATGCTCGGATGTAGAAGCTTCTCAGGCCAGCCCTGCTACTACAGGGACCTTAAATATTGCTCCTGCATGCTTAACATCTCCGATTAAGAGTAGATTGAAGATAACAAGAAAGTTGGTAACCTTTATTCTATGTACTCGTTGTCTTAAGGTGTCTCTTCTTCTGTTTAGATTTACATTTTATGTGTAGCGAAAAATGTTTTTCTTTGGGCATCATGCATGAGTATAAACATTCAATTCTGTGCTGTCTTGTTTTCCTTTTCAGGCCGTCAGAATCCACATCACAGTCTCCTGTATTTATGTCACCACTTGGAAATAGCACTCGAAAGATAACAAGAAAGTTGGTACCATCTTGTTGCTTTTTTTATTGGTGTCGTGTATTTTGCATCTTCATCAATCATTGCATGAGAAACCATCAGATAGGACTTGATTTACAATTTTCGTTGTCGCTTTGCCATGTTATATTTAGTGCATGTCCTTGCTTTCATGGATCTGGTTATCAAATCTTAAATCATCACCTTGCGTTTCAGGGCATTACATCAAGCTTTGGTTGGAAAGGCTTATCTCAGTACTTCTACAAATATATCTTCACAAAATAAGTGCAGAACTAAATTTAAGAAAAAGTTGGTGTCTTTACTTCATGATGATATTAGTCAAATCAGCACTGATGATAAGAGTCTTAATTTGATGCATCTGGTTTCTTTGTATTTCTTAAAGGTTCACCCAACATTCTGTGACCCCCAAGGCTTTAACAAACGTGTCCCTTCCTGTTTCTTCGAAAAAGAGGAGTTATAGATTAACAAGAAAGTTAGTATCATTTGTTTATAGCAACCTTGATTTCATTTATTCTGGCTGGTTTCCGTCTATTAACTTTTACTTATTTCCTTTTTCATACAGAGATCATGGATTGCATAAGTTAGCGTTTGAGAAAGGGGGATTACCAGATGGAACTGAACTAGGATACTATGCCCGTGGACAGGTTACTTACCTTATCTATTATGTGGTTATACTGTTATATCCCTCTTCACCTGGGCTTCTTTTTTAAGACATATATCACTGTGGGCAGAAATTGCTCGGAGGCTACAAAATGGGCGCTGGAATATATTGTTACTGTTGCAAGTGTGAGGTATTATTGGATATTATACAAACTACATCATGCCTTATCAGTTAGTTCTTAATTTGGTGTAATTTGTATGCAGGTGAGCCCCTCTCTGTTCGAAGCTCATGCAGGCTGGGCATCCCGTAGAAAACCGTGCGAATTTGCTCTCTTATCTCTTTTAATTTTGTTGCATGCCCTTAATGTCTGATTATTCTCTATTGTTGCAGTTATTTTTACATATATACATCTAATGGTGTATCTCTTCACGAATGGGCAACTACTTTCTCACAAGGTCGGAAATATTCTGCTAACGACAATAATGACCTGTGTGTTATTTGTGCTGATGGTGGAAATCTTTTGCTCTGCGATAGCTGCCCAAGAGCCTTCCACATAGGTAAGCTGCACTTAGTCAATTGAGCAGCATTCATTTCCTTTGCTTTCTCTATCTCTCGAATATGTTTGCCTCTACTTCGGTACCCACCTACACTTGTTGGAAAAATATTACATGCAGGATTAATTCATTTGTATGATTGAAATACTGATCTAGATATAGTTATGTATATTTTACCAAGCAGGATCGTTTCGAGAACCTTTACCATGTTTTTCACTTTGCTGCATTTCTGATCATGTATCTTAAATAAAGAGGATCTACTGCATTCTTATGTTTTCAATAACTATGATGAACCTTTCAATCACTTTAGCTAAAGATATCTGTCTGGTCTTTGTAGAATGTGTTTGCCTTCCAAGTATACCTCGTGGTAACTGGCATTGCAAATACTGCGAGAAAAACTCCAAGAGCGAAATTGCTGGAGAGTACAATGTTAATACTTCTGCAGTTGGGCAACTAGAAGGAGTTGATCCTGTTGATCCTGTGGATCAGTTAACTGGACGATGCATTCGCGTTGTCAAGAACATGGAAGCTGAAACAAATGGGTGTGTATTATGCAGGTAATCTTTCTGATTGAGTCGAAATGCTTCTTCTTAATGTGTTGTATTTATTTGAAAACTCTGTCATGAAAGGTTCATGGGTATCACCTGTACTGAGACAATCAGGTCTACTTAACTTGTTTGGGAAGAGTACTAGGTTTCTTAAAATAATTACCTGTTCTAATGGACCATTAGGTCTTGTTGAACTGTTTTAAAAGCACCGGTTTTGATGTTGTAGCTGCGTTTTGTCTTTTATGTCTGGCCAATAGTAAATAAATAAAACTAAATAAGTATATATTTTTACAAACTTATCTGATACAAGATTTTGTCCACAGTGGTTCTGATTTTTGTAGATCAGGATTTGGGCCACGGACAATCATAATATGTGATCAGGTATTTTCTTTATCGCGGTGAGGTCTTAAATTAATTTATTCTGCAAATTTCATATCAAACTAATCACCACTTTTACTTGTCTATTTTGCAACAGTGCGAAAAAGAGTACCACATCGGATGTTTGAGTAGTCAGAATGTTGAGGAATTAAAGGTGACCACATATAGCTTCAACCCCAGCTCACAATCTTCTGCGTTTGTACACAGATTAGATCATTATCTTTAGATTGACTGCCCTGATTTCAGTTTACACGGGGTATTATGATATTCTGACAGGAATTACCTAAAGGAAATTGGTTTTGTTCCATGGACTGTACGAGAATAAACTCCACATTACAAAAGTTACTCCTTGGTGGGGCGGAGAAGCTTTCAGATTCTTCTTTGGGAATAATACAGATGAAACAAGGGAGAACTGATGTAGACTCCATCAGTGATCTTGACATCAGATGGAGACTGATCAGCGGCAGAGTTACTTCTCCTGAGAGCCGAATGTTACTGTCTCAGGCATTGGCTATTTTTCATGTAAGTGCCACTGTAGTTCGAAATTTACAACTAATAACCTTATGTGAAAGCAATTTTTTGTTTGGATTAGATAATTCGTAATGTTAAACAAATAGACGGATTAGTTTTAGGTCATGGCTAATTCTCTTTCCATAAAATCTTGGCCGGAAATTATGGGGCAGGGTAACTAGCAAAGGCTGTATATACAATAGGCCAAAGAAGGTTGCATAGGTTTACATTATCCCTTTTTCATATTTTTTGTCACCAGGTTTGCATTATCCTTAATATTAAAGCTTGGATCATGTATATAATATATATTAAATAAATTATCATCTTGGTTTGGTTAGTATGTACAAATATCTCTATTTCTATACCTACAAGTTAAACCAAAGTAAGGCATAACCATGAATAACAAGTACGCTCTTCTGGGAAATTTGTATAATTTTGAAATGCAGAAGTTTATTGTGCTAGCTTTATATCAGTCTGCATTTTTAATGGAATCGTCTGAATATATGACCAACACTTGCCCTCCATAAATTCCGCTGTAATCAATAAGAATTTGCTTACTCTACCATCGTGCCCTAAGTTTGTGCAGTGTCTTTCTTACAGGATTGCTTTGATCCTATAGTTGATCCAATTTCTGGGCGCAATCTTATTCCAAGAATGGTTTATGGGTGAGGACTTTTACATCAATACCTGCTTCAAGTAGCCTGACTTTGGTCCGTATAACACTTTTCAAATACTATCAATAACAATCATAAATGCATGTTTCGTTTAGAAAGACTATGCAAGGACAAGATTACGGGGGAATCTGCTGTGCTGTTTTGACTGTTAAGTAAGATCTCTTCCCTGTAGCTATCTAACCAAAAGCCATATTTATATCGCGCATTGATTTGGCTTTTTCTACTGCTAATTTATACAGTGCGACTGTTGTTTCTGCTGGACTACTACGAGTATTTGGCCGAGAGGTTGCAGAACTTCCATTAGTTGCAACACGCATGTGCAGCCGAGAGAAGGTAATGTCTTCTTGTCTCTTTAAAATCCATATCTAGAAGATAAAGTCCGTTTCCTGATTGTCTCAAAAGGTTCCTTCCTTAATCGAGTTTCATGGGGGTTTTTATACAAAACAGGGCTACTTTCAATTGCTCTTTTCCTGCATTGAGAAGCTACTCTCATTCCTTAATGTTGAAAGCATCGTGGTTCCAGCAGCTGAAGAGGCAGAGCCCTTATGGATGAACAAATTTGGGTTCAGAAAACTTGTACCTGAACAGGTAAAACGATGGATTTAACACGCATGTGAATTGTGTAGTTTTTGAAATTGATTCTAAGAGAAACTCATAACAATTAAACCCTTCATTCCTACAGCTCAGCAAGTACATAAAGACATGCTACCAAATGGTGAGGTTCAAAGGAGCATCCATGCTGCAGAAACCGGTGCACTTGCATCAAGTCATTGACAAGAAGATCGAAACCGGTGTATCTTTAGAAGAAAATTTTGATTTGAAACAAACCCAATGAGTTGTATGTCCATCCTTTGTGTTGAGATGAAGCAAGTCATGTATTTGGTTAAAGATGCGTAGACTTGTGTAAATTTTGTAGATGCGGAGCTCTCTTTTTTGTTACATTTTAGGTTTCACATTTTTTACCTTTTGGTCATTTTTGGGAACAAAAGTTTTAGTACCAATATTTTTGTTTTGATTATACAGTATCAAGATGGTTACATTCTTGATCAATTTTATTCAAATATTCACCAAAGTAATTATTATTAAAACAAATTTACAGTGGGATCCGATGCCACAATTAATTATTATAATAAATATAGTTGATACTTACTGTTGCAGAGAACCATAATATCATCAATAACGACTCCACCAAATACATGTATTTGCATTAATGCCAATGGAAAGAAGAAGCAACATTCAAACTCTCAAACCTCAAACTTGTTCGTTGCAACACATTATTGTATCTCTCTGAACTTTGGCTAAGAATCTCTGTAACGATCATGTCAATCAAAATCACTATAGTGGTTCTCATTGTTCTTGTCACCACAATCCTCTCTCTCTTTGCAATACATTTGTCTAAACATGGAGAATTCAAGGGAGTCTATGGAAACCAGCCAAAACATCACCAACACCAAGACTTGTCTCTCCATTCTCTTGTGTTCATTGTAGATTTGAATGGCAATGGAAACTTCACTACAGTTCAGAAAGCTATTGATGCTGTTCCTGATTTTAGCCTTTCAAGGGCTCTCATTATCATCAATGCAGGAATTTACAGGTTGTTGTTACTAAACCTTATAACCTATGATCTATATGTTCTTTATGTTCTCTGTTCTAATGGTTTCATGAAAAAAACAAAAAACAGGGAAAAAGTTATTGTTAGTGAGAAGAAGACAAACATTTTGATGCAAGGTAGAGGCTATCAAAGAACCATCATCGAATGGAATGATACAGCCCACTCTTCAGGAGGCAATCCAAATAGCTACACTTTTGCTATATTTGCAGCAAATTTCGTGGCTTCTAACATAAGTTTCAAGGTAAGGATATCAGGATCCCAAGTTAATAAGCACTGTCTTAAGAACACATATTTCTTATATGTCATAACCATTGTCTTAAGAATCTGATTATGAGTTCTTATATCTTGTTTTATAAGAACCACCATTGTCTTAGCCTCTTAGGACTTATATATTGTTTTACAAGAACGTAAATCGTCTAAATGTCTTAACAATATAAGTGCCTTTATATATGTTATAACTATTGTCTTAAGACTGATCGTGTATAAGTTATATATATTAACTCATATATTTTTGTATGTATATATACATTGGTAAATCGTACATGTTTAGGGATGTAATTAACTTTGGCGATTGATATCTCACTTATCTTTGTAAATAATAGCTGAGGTACGTCCCTTTCTAGTTTCTTTGGCATATTGAGATGTGTAATCGTTCTCTCTGTTAACAAAGATACATATTTCTTATATCTTTTGTTATCTTCTTCCTTCTCTAATAATCATTCTCAAGTTCTGATATATACATATTATTTTTATGGGAGGAAGAACTCTGCTCCGGAACCGGAACCTGGCGCTGAAGGAGCACAAGCTGTAGCTGTAAGGATTGATGGAGACCAAGTGGCTTTTTACAGCTGCGGCTTCTACGGATTTCAAGATACTCTCTTAGATAATACAGGAAGACACTACTTTAAGAACTGCTTCATACAAGGCTCCATTGACTTCATATTTGGAAAAGGGCTATCACTATACCAGGATTGTGTGATCAGATCGATTGCAAAACAATCCAAGGCAGACATTACCGGTTTTATTACTGCTCAGGGAAGGGAATCAGAAGGTGAGCGGAGTGGATTCTCGTTTCTAGACTGCAATATAGATGGAAGTGGCAAAGTGTTGCTCGGGCGAGCTTGGAGAGGTTTTGCCACGGTTGTGTTTTCACAATCTTACATGTCCAGCGTAATTTCCTCTGAGGGATGGGGTGATTGGGAAAATGTAACCAGAGACAAGTAAGTATATGCAATTCCATCAAGTGAAATATTACTAACTCTTAGTTATGCTTAAAAGGAGTTTTCGTTTCTTTTCCAGGACTGTTACTTTTGGTGAGCATAGATGCTATGGAGAAGGAGCTAATTACAAGGAAAGGGTTGCCTACGGGAAACAGCTTACAGATTCAGAAGCATCTTCATACACCGACATATCTTACATTGATGGAGATCAGTGGCTGAATGGAACTACACCACCCGAGCTAAACAGCTTTGAAGAACTCGAAGAATATGATCTTATCAGTTCTTACTGAAGTATGTAAGGATTCTAATGCGTTTATGCATAGACCAAATAAAAAATCCGTAGAAATGTTGTCTCAGGTTAAAGTTAAGACATCAAGGACAGTTGCTTGTTTGGAAATGCATGACACTAGAGTTTAAGCAGTGCATCTAGTTATTCCACATCTTCATTTTATATATATTCAGGTAGAAAAAAATAGTGAAACGTAACTGTTGAGGTTCAAAGTCATTACAGCATCTTTGTATGCCTACAAAGAATGGTGATTGAAGGAACCCTATATATGCATCACTGGTTCCAATGTTTTGGAATATAATATAACAATCAGCATAGAATTTTGACACAGCTAGCAAGCATGTGTACAGCCCAAAGTAAAAGATGATAGAGAGACAAAACAATGCATTCTTATGCATCCTTATGTACTTATATAGAAACCAAAGTTCTCCTGCACATTCCAGTGTTGACACCCATTCCTGTCAACCAAAGTACCCAAGTGCGTGTGATCTGTTCGTAAAGATATGATGTAAAAATATATGATTTCTATCCATATGATCACTAAATCAGATGAAAGAAAGCATGAGGGAGTGAGGCCCTGAACTTATCTGCACACGAGGATGGAAGGAGGTCGCTTCCAGTTGTAACTTGTAAGTAACTCGATCAAATTCTCTCTTTGAAAGTCATTCATCTATGGTTTTCAGTCACCAACGCTCTCTACACATAGGTAAGTAAGTGACTGGTGTCACTCGTGATTTACGAGTTTATATTCACAGAAAAAAAAACAAATTAAAGGACTTGGCTTTGTTGTTTTCTGCAGTCTGAAAACAGAACGCTTGCATTAGGGTGCAGTTTCGTGTGGTCTATTGTCTCATCTCCAAACCACTCATACAAACACCAGAGAAGACCAAGAGTTTGGATTCAAAAAATGATCATTCTTTGAATAAGTTTGATGTTTTTGCCAGAAAAAAATAGCCTCAAGAAAGATATTTCTTATCAATTGTAAGCAGAGTTAAATTTTGGATATTCTGATCCAACTGAAAACACTCAACAGAATTAGGTGAGTCTGAGTCATGCACACAACATTAAGAACAACGAGGCCTTATCTATTGCATATGCATTGTGTTTCCATCTTTTTCTCTGTTGCATACACTAGTTTTTAATCTTGACCTTCGTTGTTTTTTCTTACGCATTGCATCATCTACTACATGACCAAAATGTTCTCTCACCTACACTCACATGATTGTACGTGATCAGCCTTCTCTTAACTTGTTCTAGCACCCGCTTTATCTTCATCTGTGTTGGTCGAAACTGAACAACTCTAACTTCGGTGTGATCGCTCTTCTATTTTCGTCGCCCATTACATGGTCGTTTTCATCGTACATGGATGTTACATCATCAATATAACCAAAACTCCCAGCAAAGAATCATATCAGAAGAAATCCAAAACTGAGAGAATCAATAAGAAAACAGAACATGAATCAAAACTGAATGTGGCTTACTTTGGCTGTATGGACTTATTGAAAAAGGATATATGTACATGTTGAATATTTATTTAGGGGTATTGGAAGATCGAGACTATAGAGTAGAGACTAGAGCATTTGAACAAGCGTAAATGCCTTTATTGACTTATTGATGACATTGTATTTGTAATAGAATGAGAGTACATAATATAAAGACTAATTGAAGAGGTTAATCATTTCATGCACTGATCATTTCATAGAGGAGGCAATGATCCACCAGGTGAAGGGGACGGTGCGTCACGTTTTTGTAGTGGCGGACATTGTTTGAGGCAATTTTCTGGTTCGATGATAGGGAAGCAAATCTCATAATCTTCGACACAACACAAGAACTCGAGTGACCATATCGCTCCCATAAATTTATGGAAGCATCTTTCTATTCCTTTTGGGTTATCGCGATCGTATGGACGACCTACAATCATTACCTTAAAACTGTAAAAACAATGAAATGAACTCATAAAGATTATAAATACTATCTTATGAGTAAATATAAAGTTATGCACGAAAGTATAACAAAGGCATGCTTAATTAACAACGCCTGTATCCATCTTTAATATTGGGAATGGAAATTCAAGAAAAAAATATTGATTTTAATTTACTTCTTATTTACATTGGTGGAGACGAAAAAAAGAAGATAGAAAATTAAGTAGGGAACAAACTATCTAGAATATTTGATTATGTAAAATTGACAAGACAAATGTATATTATGGGCTGACAAGGCTTTGCTTGTGTTGCATCTATGATTGAAAATACTAGATATTGAATTAAAAATATGCTTACATTGGTGAAGACCAAAGAGAGAGACAATCATGTATAGTAAGATTTTTTAACATGAAATTCATATCAAAAATATTTTTTAATGTCAATACATGATAAACATATGAAAAATATTATATTATGAGATTAAAATATTATTAATAAATATTTTTTTTTTATTTTAAAATAAAAACGAATTTTAATATTTGTTCTTTTTTTTGTTCCATTTGTTCCTCATCAATTTTGGGGAGGAACATTTTTGTTCTATTGTTCCTCATTTAATGAGGAATGTAGAGGAATGATGTGGAAAAATGATTCCTTGTAAATGGTAAAAAAATTGAGGAATGAAGAGGAATGTCACATTTCTTCTCATTTTTTTCCTAAATCATGGTTACCAATCGAGGCCTATATTGTCATTCGTGTCTATAATTTTCAAAATTGTCTTTTACGTTTTAATTTTGTCAACATATATTTCTTTTTTCTTTCTCTTTTTTTGGGTATAAAACAATATATTTCCTTATAAGAGTAATTTTAGAATATCAATCACGCTTGCAAAGGACATTGAGTTACAAAGGAAAAAAATCAGCATTATTATATTATCGTTGATCTCATTTTAAATTGAGTTAAAGGAAAAAAATCAGCATTATTATATTATCATTGATCTCATTTTCAATTGAGTTACAAAGGAAAAAAATCAGCATTATTATAATATCATTGATCTCATTTTAAATTGAGTTACAAATCTTACTGGATCAATTGAGATACGCATCACTATTTTTGGCATATTTATAAATTAGATATCCACATAAATAGTTGATTTTTTATTTTCCAAGAAACAACAGTTATAAAATGTTTTTCCTTTTATTTGATTATTTTTCTTCTCTATTTTTCCTTTCTTGCCAATTGTGTGTATTCGTGTCACACCAAAAAAAAAAAATTGTGTGTATTCGTGTGTATATATCTTTCATAAGTTCCGACAACAAAAAAAAAAAAAAAAAAAAAATCTCTCTCATAAGTTTTCTTTATTATTTTTTTCCTGGTCAGCATATTTTTTTTTTTTGTGCTAACTAGTATATATTTTTTTCCATTTTCCTTATTAAAAATCAGATTAGATTAGATCTAGGCATGTTGATAAGACTTACTAACGAATGTGACTGAGGCCCAATATAGTCATAGTCCAATAGTGAGCGACAACAATTTTCCATTCGACGGCGACACATGAAACCGCCGTCAAACCATGAAACCGCCGTTGCCTCTTCCTGGAAGCTCCATTTCTGGTAGCAACCTCCGCGCGCTCCGGCGACAATTTCTTTCGCCGAAACCCAAAATGCTTTTTCACTTCGACGAGAATCTTTGCATCTTCTTGCGACATTCTCCGACGCCGTTAACTTATCTCAAGGGATTCTCAAAAATCATCCTCTACTGTGAGGAAATGAGACTCTTCGATTCACGAAATCCTGAAATTTTTCGATTCTTCTTCATTTCGCAGATTCAGTTTCGATTCTTCTTCATTTCGTCTTCTGTTCCTTCCGGTGACTCCAGGTAAATCCATGAATCATCTTCTTTGTCTCTGAATTTCTCTGTGTACCCATACATGAGTATATAATTCAATTCTATGCTGCCCTGTTTTGCCTTCTCAGACCATCAGAATCCACGGCTACTTTTATTTTTTGTACCATTTTGTTATTGTTGTGTATTATGCATCTTCATCAATCACTGCATGAGAAACTGCACTTTTCTAAACCACAAGATGGGACTTGATTTTACAGAGCTTCTATCTGTTGTAGCTTTGGCATGTTATATTTAGTGCATGTCCTTGCTTTTCCAGATCTTTGGTTATCAAATCTTAAAATCATCACCTTGCGTCTCAGGGGATAACGTCCAGCATTGGATAGGAAGCTTATCTATAAATATATCTGGTCTATCAACATATATGTCTTGTCTATCAATAAGACAGATGAAGCAAGAGAGAACTGATATAGATTCCATTAGTCATCTTGACATCAGATGGAGATTGATCAGTGGCAAAGGTACTTCTCCTGAAAGCCAAATGTTCTTGTAAGTGCCTCTGCAGTTCAAATTTTAGAATTAGAACTTTGTTATAGCAATTATTTTGTTTTAATTTGAGATTTGATGAATTGGTTACCAAACTGCTGTACATACTACACATTAGGCAAAGGAAAGTTGCATAAGTCTATATTATCCTAAAATATAGTAACTTAAAACTTGAATCACGTATATATATGAAGAAAATTATGATCTTGATTTGGTTAGTATGTACAGATACCTCCATTTTGATGCCTACAATACAAGCTGAACCAAAGTTAGGCAAAACCATGAATAAACAGTCCCCTCTTATGGAAAATTTGTACAATTTTGCTATTCAGAAGCTTATCTGCGCTAGCTTTATATCCCTCAGCATTTTGAATGGAACCATATGACAAACATTTTCCCTCCATAAGTTTCGCTGAATCATTTGGAATTTGCTCAACTCTGTCATCGTACCCTAAGTTCGTGCGTTTCTTTTTTACAGGATTCCTTTGGTTCTAGTTGATCCAATTTCTGGGTGCAATCTTATTTTGAGAATGGTGCACGGGTGATAACTTTTCCATCAATGCCTGCTTCAAGTAGTCTGACTTTGATCCTTATAACACTTTCAAATACCATTCATAACAATCACATGGGAATTTGACTATGTGAAGACAAGACTGTTGTGCTGTTTTTGACTGTTAAGTAAAATCTCTTCCCTGTCACAATTGAACCAGAGGTTATATATGTATTATACACTGCGGATAAGTATTTATTGGCTATTTTCTGCTGCTGAATTATACAATGCAAATGTTGTTTGCTGGATTACTATGAGTCTTTTGCCAATAGGTTTCAGAACTTCCATCAGTTGCAACACACATGTTCATTGCTTAACCGAGTTTCATGGGGTTTTATACAAAACAAGGATACTTTCAGTTGCTCTTTTCCTGCATTGAGAATCTTCTCTCATTCCTGAATGTTGCAAGCATTGTGTTTGCAGGATTCCAGCAGCTGAAGAGGCAGATCTCTTATGGATGAACAACTTTGGGTTAGAAAGCTCGCACCTGAATAGGTACAACGATGAATTTGACTCGTTTGTGAATTGTGTAGTTTCTGGAGTTCGCTCCATGAATATTATTAAATCCTTCATTGCCACAGCTTGGCAAGAATTTAAAGATGTGCTACCAAATGTTAGGTTTAAAGGTGCATCCATGCTGCAGAAGGCGGTCCATTCACACCAAATCATTGACAAGAATGAAACTTGTGCATCTCTTGAAGAATTTTTTGATTTGAAACTACCCAAGAGGTCGTGTGCTTATCCTCTGTGTTGAGGTGAAAGATGGATTAAAGAGACTTGTGTAAATTTTGTTACTAAATATTAATTAATTAATTTTTATTTCGATGACTTTTCATTATAGAAAACATTGATGAAATTTACCTTCTTGGATAGTCGATTTACCAATTCACAACTCCATCATAAGCAAAAAATGAACTTTAGTGATCTATACCTACAAATCAAGAATATCTCATTTCTCAAGTATCTATTTAAACTGATACATCGGAATAAATTTAAACTGATACATCGGAATAAAAGAAGATCGGAGAAGAAGAGAGAAGCGAAGCTTTATTAATCAGTGTGATTGTTTGTTACAAAAGCTTAACGACCAATCTGAGTCTAATTAGCTTATTGTATATGCTAATTAGACTTTACAATATTAAACCAGACATTAAACCGATCAATTACCGGTTAAACACAGACCAAGTAATCTAATAGTATCTTCTCTATATTTATAGGAAAGTTTCAAACTCTCAGACTCTGTAAAGTCTTAAGTGTAATCTTTTACCAATATAAGATAAAACACTGACAATTATATTAACTGACGCAAAATTTAAATATAGTAAATAGCTTTCGTAATGGTTTTTATTAAGCATCGTTAGCCATCTTGGCGTGTACACCCAACTCGCTTCTCTGCCAACAACTATTCCATTATAAATCATTTTATAGTTTTTCAAACATCGTATAAGTCACCCATTTCTAAAATAAAACTCTAATAAAAATTTTAGATTGTTACATCAAATCTGTAATATAATTTTGGCTAAACAGATTTCATTCTAAGTTTTAGCTTATCCTTTTAGATAGACAGACGTGACAGCTCTCTTAGTCAAATGGTTCTTAAAAACAAGGGCATATTTATTAATTTTATCTTTTAAGTATGCCTTAAAATAAATTGTTAACTAGTTTATTATATGAAAATATACAAAATAAACTCTTAACAAAATAAAAATTAAAAGATACGTAATTGTAATTGAATCAGAAATAAATGGTTATGGATGTTTGATATAATTAAAAAAGACCCAAAAAAAAAAACGTTTAATCAACAAACGTATTTGATTGACAAAGAAAAAAGTATCACGATGTCTTCGAAGCCCATATCCTTCACTTTACTCTCACGCCACTCTTCCTCAAACATGTATAAGTAAACCAAACTACTTTTGCCCTCATTTCACTTTTGATTAGTTGAGAGTTGAGACACACTAAACTCAATCCCAATTATCTTAATCATGCTCACCAAACCGGTTTTAACCACCCTAATAGCTCTTTCCTACATCATTCTTGCTCTCTACACAATCATCCCATTGCGTAGCTCTCTCTCTTCTTTTGCTACAACCATCATAACAAATTCTAAATTCGGAGCTTTAACAATACCTTCAACACTCTTTGAACTCACACACCACCAGCATCATCATCAAAATCATTACCACCATCATCAACCTATAAAATGTTGTGAGAGATGGACGTCAAGGCTTACAAACCAATACAAGTCTTCTCTTGTGCTGACTGTTGATTTGCATGGTTGTGGTAACTTCAGCAATGTACAAAGCGCCATTGATGCTGTCCCTGATCTAAGTCCTTCCAAGACTCTTATCCTCGTCAATTCGGGGTCTTATAGGTCCTATCTTCAACTCTCTTGTTCTTTTCCCATGTTTACATTGTTCGAATATTCCATATATAGTTTTCCTTACAGTATGATATATATGTAAAAATGTTTGAGTTCAATGTAAGCTTGCAGGGAAAAAGTTACGGTTAATGAAAACAAGACAAACATTGTAATTCAAGGAAGAGGATATCAAAACACATCCATCGAATGGAACGATACAGCAAAATCCGCAGGAAACACTGCTGATAGCTTCTCCTTTGTAGTGCTTGCAGCTAATTTCACAGCTTACGACATTAGTTTCAAGGTAAGAAGGCTATCGATTGAAAACATGACAATACAAATCTAATTATACAAAATATGTGATGATTTCAGTTCTCATGTGTGTTTATATGTTTTGGATGGAGGAAGAACAATGCGCCAGAACCAGATCCTGGTGAAACTGATGCACAAGCAGTAGCTTTAAGGATTGAAGGGGACCAAGCTGCCTTTTACGGGTGTGGTTTCTATGGGGCTCAAGACACACTTTTAGATGATAAAGGAAGACACTTCTTTAAAGATTGCTTCATTCAAGGGTCAATAGATTTTATATTTGGAAATGGAAGATCACTCTATCAGGTTAAAATTAAATATAACATATTCATGACATTTTTCAAAACTTTACCATAATACTCTAAAATCCCAAACAGGATTGTACGATCAATTCAATAGCAAAGGGGAATACATCTGGAGTTACCGGATCAATCACGGCTCAGGGGAGAGAATCAAAAGATGAAGAATCAGGATTCTCTTTTGTGAATTGTAAGATAGACGGAAGTGGGCAAGTGTTGCTTGGACGAGCTTGGGGAGCCTACGCTACAGTTGTGTTCTCAAACACTTACATGTCCGGAATCATCACTCCAGAAGGATGGGATGACTGGGGCGACCAAGCCAAACAAAAGTACAAGGAGATGGTTTTTTCTCTTACATACACATTTCAAACTATACAAAACAAATATTCGTTAAATCTTATGTGAGATTTTATTTTTCAGAACGGTGACTTTTGGAGAGCATAAGTGCTATGGACCAGGAGCAAATTACAAAGAGAGGGTTTCGTTTGGGAAACAACTCACAGATTCGGAGGCATCTTCTTTCATAGATGTTTCTTTTATAGATGGTGATCAATGGCTTCGTCACACTAACACACTCGCTAACCTTACGTCTAAAGACACTAGAGATGGATTATACCAAAGTATATAAAAGATACATAACGAAAAAACCATTCCTATATATCTGAGTTGCAATGAAGATCATGTATATTATAATCTGATTTTGATTTGTTTGATTAGATACCATTCAGTCATAACATATCTATAGACAAATCCATCAAACGAAAAAAAAAGCATTGTGTTTAATTAGCTCACATTTTTGAATAATTCTTTTTAAGTGATTCGTGATTTCAAGAAGAGTAAAGGATCAAGCTGGTAGCTAATTTCGATGCAAGTGTCCATATCCAAAATCTTTCATCGAATAAAAAAGAACAGATCAAAAACATAGATTTATAAAGTAGTGAACCAAACGAAGCCACTAATTAAAAACAACCACTAATGAAGAGCGCTAACATGTTCATATGACCAATATCAAATTTGAAATAGAAAAAGGTAGAGGTAAATTATTTATATATATATATATATATACATATTATTTATTTTCAAATTTTTGTCAAATCTTTTAACAACCAGAATAAAAGAAAATAACTAACATAGAATTTTATTTATTCTAAAGTCAAAACCTAATTAATATTCGAAGAGACATGCACAATTTCACAAACAAATGACGATTAAAAGAAAAGAAAAAAAAAAAACGCAGTCAAAAGAAAAATAAACGAATGGCAGCGTTATGATTTCTTGTTAAAGAAACGACTTTGAATTTCCCGCGTAATCATTCCTTGCAGTGAAAGCATTAGTTCTACTTCGGCAGATTGGTTTGGTTCGGTTGATAATTTATATTTGGTTCGGTTTGGTTTACAAACAATTATTGTTTTCTTTTAACTAAACCATTTTGTTTTGGTGCTCTACGATTGTTTTGGGATTTTTTTTTCATTCCACCTCTCTACTCTTTTCTTTTGAATGAGCTAGCTAGGAATTGTTTTTCTTTTTTTTTTTTCAGTCTATCTACATTATTACACTCTTAAGTTCCACAACTATCTTGCCCTCCCATAAATTATTTTTCAGGTTCTGATAACTTCGTTTTGTTATTGATACAATTCTCAAACTTAAGGATTACCATATTTTTATATTGCCTTAGCTCTTCATAAAAAGATTGATCATTCACATATGTATGACCAATTGTTATAACTATATATGTGCAAAATAGATTACAGACATCCCATAAAAACTTAAAACTAAAGAAACACAGCATGTTTACTATACGTACATATTTATATCTATTGTTAATTTTGGTTGGTGGAAAAAATAAAAATAAAATAGAAAAAGCTTAAATTAAATTTCTTACATTGGTGAAGACCAAAGAGATAGACAATTAAGAGAGCGATAAGCAAACTCTTAGAAGCCGTCATACTTCTTTCTTTCCAGCTCTTTCAATTTTATTCAAGGATCCATAGATATCATCTTTGGTTATGAAGATCAATCTACCAGGTAAATATTAAAGACAAACATGATAGAATTTTAAATAAGACTTAACACTTTGAAATTATAAGCAGAACAGTATTATTCACTCGATAGCAAAAAAGATTAAATCAGGAATGAGCGGATGTATCAACTCATGGAAAGGAATTGGAAGATGAGAAGACAGATTTTTCTTTTGTCAATTGTAGGATAGACGGAACCGATAAGCTATATAGATAGGACCCTTGCATTGGAAATTTAAGTCATTAGAAATTTTGATTTAGTTATCTCATCTTATTACATAGAGCCAAAGATTAAATTTTTTGCATATTTTGAATATGTTTTAAGCAAAGTCTGAGCATATTTTGAATATGTTTTAAGCAAAGTTTAAGCATATTTTATGCAATTTGTTTAGATATTTAACATTCAAACCATATATGATATATATGTATTAAATATACATATATATTCATTTATATGTTCATATATCAAATGTGTATACAAATATTGTATAGTAGATAGTGCGACATAACTTAGTCAAAAAATACATTTCATCTTCTGCATATCCCATGTCTACCATGCTTTTCCTCATTGTCTTTCTCTCCATCATCTCTCCTATTCAGTTAGATCATACTCCAAAGTGTGATGATCAGTTCTCAAACTTTCCCCCCAAAGGATACACCTTAGTCTACAAGGTCTCCTCCCTTCATGCCATTGACGCAACTCTTGGTTCAACTCTCACCAAGCAACTCATCTTAATTGATACTGGAATCTATAGGTTAGCCTTCACTCTAATCTTCTTCTTTTTGCTTACTTATAACATCTTTATTTTTTTTGTAAGGGAGAGGGTTCTTGTTCCTAAGACCAAGAAGAACCTTGTGATGCAAGGTATGGGGTTCTCAAGGACATCCATTGAGTAAAATAACACAGCCTCTTCATCCAATGGAGCCTTTGAAAGTTTCTCGGTTGCTCTTTTTGGAGGTAAGCTTCAAGGTAAGAGTGATTCTCTGGTTTTTTAATATTATTTTCAAGTATAATTTACTTAACTTTGTAGATATTTAAGTATGTAGTTAAAAAACTTCTCTGTTTTATGGTTGCCTCTTAAAAAACTAATGATTGCCTCTCTTTCTCTGTTAGATAAAGCTTGAGATGTTTTTTCCTATGTTTTATGGTTGCTGATGAATTTCTACTTCCTTGGTGGATGGTAAAAACTTTTGCTTGGAACTAATGATGTATCTAATGCATTGAATTTCTCATCTTAACAACAGAAAAAACTTTTGATCAGAAAAAAGAAAAACAACATAGAAAAAACTTTTGCTTGGAACTAAGAGAATGCGAGGATAATTAAAGTTAAATAAAGCATCTAAAAATTCCTCTGTTTTGTGGTTTCTAATGATTCTCTCTCTTAGATATAGTTTGAGATAAATTTGATGGTTTCTAATGAATTTCTTACTTCCTTGGTGGATAGTTTAGATTTAATGATGTAGCTAACATAATTTTGTCTATGTTTTATGATATCTAATGAATTCGTCTTCTCGGTATGGTTTCTAATAAAAATTTCTCAACTTAATGTTTGGTCTTTTGCATGGTATAAGAACACGTCTCCCGCACCCAACCCGGAGCAGTCCGTGCATAAGCGGTGGCACTAAGGGTTGTAGGAGAGAAAGCCGCCTTCTATGGATGTGGCTTCTATGGGAACCAAGACACTTTTTTAGACCAAGAAGAAAGGCATTATTTCATAGATTGCTTCATCGAAGTAATTTATGGACTACAATCTTATGTAATTTAACTAATTCTATTTGGCCATTTTATGAAAAAGAAATTGTAGTCACAACTGATCACAATTAACAAATGGTGGTGATATCACCATAGAGCGCACTTTCAATTCTCCCACATACGAGCAATATGATGTTTGTAACTGTAACATAGTATGATGTTTGTAATTGTAACATAGTTTTATATGTATATCATCATGTATATATAAATATTTTTTTGTAAAAGTAGCAGTGCATTGTTTTTTGTTAAATTTTGTTGTCATTTGACGGGCAACACTTTGTTTAATACGCAAAGATTTTTCAGATTACAAAACATCTTTCAATTCGGTTCGGTTGGATACGTTTGTATGTCCATCCCCTAATTGGAACATAAAAAGATTCAAATAACAGAGTTATAATCTCATCTCTCAAATCTCTCTAATCATGTTCAAAAGAATAATATGCTTTCTGAATTTCTTTTGTCTTCCTCTTTAACCATATGATGCAATCTAATAATCTATAACACAATTTCAATTCATCTTAATATAAATAACAGTACTGAACAATGATAAGTAGTAACTAATTTCATTTATCGTATATGATGAATTTTGCGTGATTCAAGAAAATTCTTCCACTTAGGTTCGCGGGACGAAACATATTGAAGAAAAGTGGGGAAATCAGTATCCATATACTGCGGTGGATTAAGTTCATCGACGAGCTTCGGTGATGGTTTTACAACGGACGTCAAGGGGAAGCTGTGCAGCGACGCCACTGATATCCTAGGCTTTGTGGAATTCACCAATACCCTATGTAGCACGCTTTTGTACCTCCCGTTGCTAAATATCTACATATATAAAGTGACCAAAACTATTAGCTAGTTTAAACAAAAATAGAGTTATAAATATGAGATCTTATATTATTAGAAATTAATTTGACTTCATAACAACTTTTACATCTCAATCTCTAAGCAACCTTATATGTTTTTTTGGATTGCTAACGTAAGTCTAACAATGCTTTGGAATTTTTTTAATGTAAGTTGGAATCTTTCATTAACCAAAGTAATAAAGTAATAACTTGGTAACACAATAATACTACTAGCTAGAAGAAAACGTTTAAAGAATATGCTAATTAATAATATATACCTCAAGATGATCGCCGACGTTGACGACAAAAGAGCCAGGGATGGGATCAACAGTGACCCATTCGTCACGGTGCAGAATCTGAAGGCCTTCAACGTCGTCTTGAAGAAGAAGTGTCAAGAAGCCGTAGTCTGAGTGAGGTGGCATCCCTAGCGTCAGCTCAGGCTCCGGACACGGCGGATAACAGTTCACCACCATCAACTGACTTCCCTCTTCTAACTCCTCGACCGCCTCGTCGTCGCCGTCGATTTCAAGACTCTCTATGATGGCTTTTACCATTATCTCGAACATCTCTTTCGTGTCTTTAGCGTAGGTAGCCGCCAAACTCCTGTTTTCAATTTTTTTTTAATACAATATCAAGTTTAGTCTACATGTATCAGTATTTTAAAATAAAAATATATTGGTATTATTACGCGTGATATGTAAAGTAGTCCCGTGACTGCTAGACTAGTAGTTCTTGGTGGCATGTAGCTATGAAGATAAATAAGTCGTTTTGTGTGACCTTTTCTTTGTTATCTAGTAGTATAATAATAATCCCACTCATCTTCATAGATTCACAACTCACAAGCCGCCACCATATCATTTTTAAAAAATAATTCAAATAATTAACCGCCATAACCTCTAGATTATATTGGCATGCCCTTTGTGACCAAAACAGAAGAATTTGTGTCTAAAGATGTAATCATAGATTTTTACCTGGCTAACCTTTTTTAAGATGTAAATTAAAATATTCATGAGCTATCTAATTTTTTGTTTAATACGTAAAAAACACGTGTGCTAAGTCTATCTGTTAAGTTTCTCGAATTTCAGATGTAAATGTGGGAAATCTGACCTGAAGTCGGAGGGAGAAGAAGGCCAGTAAGGAAGATAATCAGGGAGAGGATGTGCGTATAGTTTCAAGAAGTCTCTCCAACAAAAGACATTGTCTTTGAT